GAGAGAGAGAGAGAGAGAGAGGGAGAGAGAGAGCTCCCCTTGCCCAAATGCAAGGACATTAATGTGCGTGTGTGCGTGGTAATAAGCGCATCTCATTCGCTGCTTCTTCCAGAGGCGGAGCAGCAGGCTTGCCGGCTGCCCACACAGAGTAGCTCTGTCTCCGGTTGGGTTGTCTTTTTATTTACCATCCGCTCGCCGGTGTGCCGTTCCGGCCCGACAAAGTCGTGGGACACTCGCGTGTCTTGAGACTTACTTGAAGTGGACCATGGCAGCCAGAGAGGAGCTCTACAGTAAAGTCCTTCCTCGGAGACTCCGTCAGAACCGGTCGGGTTCCGCGAAATGCAGCTCCAACCTGGATGTGCTGTTGTCTATGGGCTTCCCGAGACAAAGGGCGTAAGTGTCCGGTGTGAATGGTTGCATTGCATGCATGTCACAAAACGCACGGGGGGCTGACGTGGACATGGCGATGATGTGTGGGCTGACTGAACGGTGAAGTTCGAGTGCTTTCTAGTGGACGGGTCGTCAGCACCACAAATTCTTATATATATACATGTGTGTGTGTGTGTGTGTGTGTATGTATGTATGTCAGGACAGTCGAGAGCTATTGAATGGCGCAAAACTAAATTACACAGATACAGTTGGTTAGTGTAACGTTAGCATCACACTGTTCATTGACAGTTTCACGGGCTGTTTGAGGTTTCCACATTGAAATGTTGTTGGTGGTTTCTATTTACGTATGACATCCTGTATTGTCCTTCACTGCGTTCTCTTTGACGTCAAATTACCGGTAACTATTTTCTTTGTTGTTCATTGGTCATTGGCATAGAGTTGTGCGTGTGTCTGGAGCAGGGGGGTGTTGTCTTCAGCAATAATAGAGTAAAATACATATTTACCAGATGCTATATGTCTCTAATCAGATCCAATACAAATACTGTATGACCACAATGATAATAATCCTCAATTTTGATTCACAAAGTCGCAGAGGGTTACTCATTCGTATTTATGATTACGGTTATAGGTTGTACTGGAATACAACTGCATCACATCATATTTCTATTAGGTTGCTGCCAGCAAGGTTATTGTAGTTAATTAAAACTAACCAAATAATTCAGATTAAAATTGAATAAACATTTTAGTTACCAAAGTGAAATAAAAACAAAACTGCTTTTGAAAAAACCAAAACAAACCAAAACCTCATCTTGCATTTATAAAACTAACCAAAACTAGCTAGAACTCAAGCAAAAATTTCCTTCGTTTTCATCTTTGTCAATTAATTTCATATGTGAGCTTTGGTGGTTCATTTGAAATGGTTTTATTTTGGTATTGCTGTGCGTCCGTTTACAAGAAGGAACGTCAAACAGTCGGTTCTGAGTTAATACTTTTTAACCTTTTTTTTTATCTTGCCCTCGACAAATACGCCATCCATTAAATAATAACAATAATAATAATAAGAAGAATAATAAAATGATTAAAACCTAAATTAAAACAACACATTAAAAAAAATACAAACCAACAACCTACTCTAAAAACAAATTAAAACTAACAGAATAAAAAAATCCAAAAGTCACAACAAAATGAAAACTAACTACGGTACTGTATACAGTAATTTAAAAACAACCCCAAACCATTATAATCCTTGCTGCCAATGAGTGTATTTTTCAGCTGCATTAAGTTTCTAACCTACTTGTCAATCATTGCCCAGTGGAGCTGTTCCTGGCGTTTCACGGCACGAGATTGTGAGTCAGTGGTGTCAAACAATGACTGAGAGTCTGCAACCAACAGTGATGGAATGAATGACTTTTCAGCAGCTGTCTATTCTGTCTAGTAATCACTCAACCTATGACTCCGTTCAGACCAACAACAGACAGGCCATTGATTCTAAAATGATTATTTGTCTACAATCCTTAACCTTGTGTGTGTTTGCACAGGTTGATGAAAGAGTTGAAAGTTCAACAGAATTCAAGTGATGAAGGCAGCAGTGAAATGAACTCCGACATCTATAGAAATATTTTGTCTACCAAGTGAAGGAACGATACAACCAAAGTTATAGGTTTAAAGTTTCAAAAGAGCAACCCCCCCTCACCTCCAGGATGCAACAATGAAAACAATAAAAAAGTGAAGGAGATTTTGACAAAGCACTGCAAAAGATTCAAGTGGTTAAAAAAAAAAAATTTTTCGAGCAAGCCTAAGAAAAAGGGACTTCTTGGCATGCATTCAGTGTGTATTTGCAAATGTTTCGAAGGTTTTATGGCACAGGAAGTCTGCTGCTTTTCTGAACAGTCACAGTCAACAAGAACAATAGTGCCGAAGCAGGCCTTTAGCTATCCTACCAATCCCAGGACTTCTTGGCTTTGTCACAGTTACTGATTATTTCCTTTTCTGTATCAGTTACCTTCACTTTTTCCTAGAAGAAATTGGCCCACTAAATATTTTCAGAAAAAATATTTATCTATCTATCTATCTATCTATCTATCTGTCTATCTATCTATCTATCTATCTATCTATCTATCTGTCTGTCTGTCTGTCTGTCTGTCTGTCTGTCTGTCTGTCTGTCTGTCTATCTATCTATCTATCTATTAGCTAGCTAGTTAGCTAGCTAGCTATCTATCTATCTATCTATCTAGCTATCTAGCTAGCTATCTTTGCGACCCTCCCATCTTTCAAAAAGAAATGGTTGTGTCCGATGCGCCGCCAACAGACCTCCGGATGCGGCGTGCATTCGTTTACTTGTTTACAGCTATCCTGGCAGAATAGTAGCAGCGGCAGGCAGTATTTACAATGGAGCGCAGTGATAACATTTGCGTTTATCAATCAACATTCCGTCCAAGTGAATTCATATCTCACTTTGCCGAAAAGGACATAAAGAAATACATGCGCAAGATGGACAGGTTGGATATTACAGATCCCAATGAAGATCCAAGACTGCTTTTTTTGTTGTTGTTTTGTTTTGTTTTTTACAAATGTCGCAATGGCAGATGGGGAAAACAACAATGGTGAGTCTTACGATCAAACAAAGGCTTGAAAGGTTACAAATTTAGATTACAGGCCGTGTGTATTTAGACTTGCGTGGCTTAATCTATGAGACAAGCATATTCTACTGGTAGGACCAATCAGGTTGCCTGGAAGCCAGGGCTGGGCTGGCTAGCGGGAGGGGATCAGGGTGGGCTGGCAGAGGTGGGCCGGGCACCTCAGAGCCCGTGCACTCACACACGTTGCCTGTAGTTGGGCGAGGAGGCTGCTCGCAGTGCTTTTTTTCCCAGTTATCCAGCTCAGGGAATTACCCCAGAGGCAAAGTGAACTGAAAAAATTCCAAAGTCTCAACGAGCACAGAGTGGGATGGCTCTCGCCTCGCCCCTTTGTGAATCAAAGCAAAACGAAAGTGTTTAATTTAGCTTTCTTTCACACACTGCTTCTTCCTAATCTGACTTCGCTGTCTTCTACATTTAAACCCAAAAAAGCTTTCTACCTCAAATCGTGAAATATGTTTGTATTTATTTTTGTATGTATATGATTCATAGTGCAAATGTGCATAGTGTATACAGTAAGTGTTGGTTCCATTTTAAAATACACTAAAAATTAACAGCGAAAAATGTTGGGCCACAGAAGGTGGACAGGCGATGTATGACAGTGGACAATGATGCAAAGTCTGTTGGAAAATTTTTACCTGATTACATTTCCATCCAGCCGAAATAAACAAATAAAATAGACTGGCTCAATTTACCCCATGGTGACCATATTGAATTAATCTCCCACTTGCATTGCTTGCATTAGAAGATGGAGCAAAGCAAATGCAATGCAGTGCATCATTTCTACTCCATCAGTAAAAGATGTGTACAATGTGATCCATTTTTGAGTACGGTGGAGTTGGTCATACATTATTTAGTGTTTCTCTTGTATTCGATAGTGCAGTATGCCGAGCTTATTGAGGAGGCTTACATCTGTGCTGTCCTCACAATCAAGTATTGCTGTTTCGGACTATTTCAAGATAACCAATCAGAGCAGTATGATTTAATTTGATGCGTCATATTTTTTATTGCACAATAAGGAAAACAGAGGTAACAGTATTCTTCTTTCTGAAATTGCCTGGAAATGAATCCGGTCTGGATAGTGGTGCATTTGGTGCATACTGACTGTTACTAAAGCTTTGTGCTCATGTCATGGTTCATCTGATGCTCTGGGCGGAAGCAGGGAATCAGACAACCTTATCAGATTATGGGGGCACTCAAGTGTCTCTACCGTGTGAGGATGAAATTCAAGTATTAATGATTGGATTTGGCATTACAAATGAACTGCATTTTCCTGACACAGCGGTTTCATCGTTCTATCAGAATAAGTTGTAACATTTGCAACAGGAGTTCTGTGATGTCGTGAATAATGAGTACAGTGGTGCCGAGCGCTTTGACTTTTGAGCAAATTTGAGCGAAGAGCAGTATGTGGTGTCAGTTAAGTCAACTCTGCTAAATCCTCAACAAGTAGACATTTAGCAGGCAGTATGTGGTGTCAGTTAAGTCAACTCTGCTAAATGTCTACTTGTTGAGGATAACGAACATCCATCCATTTTCTAATCCGCTTTTCCTCACGAGGCTTGCGGTCATGCTCTGGAGGCCATGCTGTCTTCTGGGGAACACCCTGAACTGGTTGCCATCCAATCGCAGAGCAAGTAACAAACAATTCTTCCCAAAAAAGGCTTCAAGATGTACTTTGCCCCTCCTAGATTAAGTTTACTGTAAAACTAAACATTTAGTACATGTTGTGTATTGAAACTAACTTCACAGGTTTGCCTTAAATAAGTCCATTCAGCATGATGCTAACACACGATCCAAAATGCCACAAATGGACTAGTGAATGAAATGGTCTTCTGGTGTTTTAATGATGAAAGCAGACAAGATAGCAAAGTTCACAGGGATATCTTCTTTTTCCTCCTCGAAAAAAATGAAACTTGCTGTGTATCCTTTTGTTTATATTATGCCGCTCCCTAAAAACAAAGGCATGCACACCAGAAGGTGCAGCACCATGTTCATTAAATCGAAGTATCAAATGTTTCAAACACTGTTTAAATGTTAACATTCTATTTAATTTCATTTTTACTGAATGTTTTCATCAATTAGAATATTATAGAGTTCTATGTTGTTCATTAAAAGCACATTACAAACATTTTGGCTCGATTTTCAAAGGAGGCTGAAAGTCACCGCTTCGAAATGCTTTGCCAGGCCTTTTCCATGTACCTCTAAAGCAGTGGTTCTTAACCTTATTAGAGGTACCGAACCCAACCAGTTCATATGCATATTCATTCCTGAAAAATAAAAATTCAAGAAGTATTCCTTCAGTTTTGCCGGTGTGAGACTAGAGTTGCTCAACTTGGCATGACAAATCATGGAGATAGGATGCTGAGTCCCATTGCGTTCTGCGATGCATGTGAATTAATGAAGTACAAAGCAGCGTCTGACCACTTTATTTTTTTTACTCAACATAGCAGGTATTAATACATTCTAAAAATATCGCACCACGTACTATCACAACAGTCACACGTTGACTACTGAGCGAGCTAAATTTCCCGCAGCACTGATTGAACAAGCAATCTAATGTGATCATCTGCACCCAGTGATGGCCAAGCAGGCGTGTCATAATTAATTGACATGTTGAGTCGGGTGTGTCTTCACCTCCACGGCAGAGGCTCCGTCGAAACCCTGAGACCGATTCACCGAACCCCTGGGGTTTGATCGAACCCAGGTTACGAACCACTGCTCTAAAGCTAACAGTATCACAACTGAATACACTACAAACACCAAAAAGGCAGTAAGTAGTTTTTGGTCAGTTTAGTCAATTCAAAACTGAATTGATTTATAAACCCCCCACATCACAGAGCTATAGCACATATGGAAATATATTTCCTCATTAAAGCATGCAGTTTTTTTTTTATTTTTTTTTTTAAACAACACTGCTGTGTCTGGTTGGCTCATTCTAGAAAATACTAAAATCTTACTGTCACTAGTTACTTCCTGGTTACTTACAGCCGCACATGAACTAATCTGTAAACACAGTGGATGTTTCCATTTGGAGTTTGTAAATAGGGCAGAGTTGATAGGATCAGGAAGTAGATTTGACGTATTATTTAATCTCCTGCCCAATTTGGTGTGTGTGAGTGTGTGCGTGTGTTTGTGTGAGTGTTCATTTATGGGTGACTGTACAGTAATACACATGGTACCGAGTAGCATGTTGGCTTCTGCCAAGGCCTTTTGCCATGTTGAGTTCAGTGATGACAGAGCCATCTGTGGTTTTTGGCGCCTTTGCCAAAACAGTAACCGGATTGGCTTCAACAGCCTGCATCCCGCAGCTCCTGCTGCCTCCCCATACGTACTCACCCCTTCAAAGGGATTGGAACGGGGAGACCATGACTAAGTGCCGAAAATGGAGTAACATTTCTCTCTCTGTCTAATAACCGTGATTTGTGATGTCCATACTAAGATTTTAAATTGTGTTGAAACGTGGCGCCATTTTTTGAGATTAAACTCAAATCAACTGTATTTATGGAGCATTTTAAAACAACCACCGCTGTATTCAAAGTGCTGTACACGGAGCAAATATCATATATACAACAATAAACAATAAAATAATAAATTAATAACGAAGACAGTAGAAAGCACAAAACAGTAAAACTAAGATCAAGTCTGAGTCATGCTGAGTCAAAAGCCAAAGATTACAAGTGAGTTTAGAGATGAAAAAAGCGATTGCTGAGTGATGGGCAGCAAGATTTGTGGCTGTCGCTGAAGCACTTATTCCATCAGTTGGATTTACAAAAGCGGTTTACAAACCCAAAAGAGTAGCTTTGGAAGAAAAAAAAGGCACTTCACATTTGTATAATGGTGAGAAAATGGCGAGAGTACATTTGTACTGCGTCTGCAATTTTGCAATTCATACTCAAATGGTCGAAATGAAAATCTACTTCATCATTCATCATCTTCATCATTTTAACCAAAGACGTTTTAAACAATTTCATACAGATAAATCTTCTTTCATGGAAGGTCAAATTGGGGTTTTTAAACCCTTTCAGGGACTACATTGGACAGCTTATCATCTTATCAGGTTACAGGGTGCATGAAAGGGTTAAATTTGAATTTCAAAAAGTTTTTGTTACTTATTCTTCATTTTGACAATTTGAAAAAAATAAAGGAGCACCTTTTCAAGAGCCTCAGCGAAGATGAAAAGCAACAAGCACCCATTGAGCTCACACTGGCCCCCATCTGTATGCCATAATATTACCTGCCTCACCTTGTGCTTTTTCATCACAGTTCTGGTCAGCAGGTCTAATTTTGTCACAAAAATACCTTAGTGGTGACCACACTTTGGAAAGACTTCTGCAAACATTATAAGAGCACAGTTAATCAGTTTGTCACTGCCTCACCTCACATTTCTCACCTGTGTTCTCACGTGGTAATGGTTTGAACACCTTGCGCCCCATTTTCATTCCCAGCGCAAGTCTAGTGCAAAGCGTAGTCTAACTGTGGCCGTGGCTGGAGTTTTCATTCTTTAGGTATTTTGCTAGACTTTGTACTGGTAGAAATGAATGTAAGGGGGCGTTTGCGCCGTTGTGGGATGGAACGTAGCCTTTTCCCGGCCAATCGTGGCGGCATCCCTCATTTGCATTAAAACATGGCAGTTGGAAACATTGCTGAAACAGAAATTGATTCACTGGGGTTCGCCCATGACATTGGCAGGTAAACTGCAAAATCTCACGGTGTGGCTGATGCAGTCAGCCGCACATGTGACGTGTGCAAATAGAAACCGCTTTGCACCACAGACTTCGCGTCTGTGTGTGAACTCCAACTTCTCCGGCCGCAATACTTGCTGCCAGGGTGGTGCGATTAAGATGATAATGATTATAATTCATTCAATGAATCAAATTCTACGATGGGAAAACAGAGGAACTGTTCCACGTTGTTGTCATATTTCTGAATGAAATACGATGACGTCCAACACACACGTCCCGACCGCGCCGGATTTGTCTGCCTGCGCATCGATCAACGCCACCAAAATCGCGTTACACCACCTGCGCCACACAATAGACCTCCTTTTAGCCCGTCTCAAATTTTGTGTACTTTTTGTCACCAATTTGCAAGATGCAACTTGAAGGCCTTTGACTGGACACTTGTTTATCCATCCGTTCATCCATTTTCTGGATTTCTCATGCAACACAAGATTTGACTTCTGCATTAGTGAATGCAGGAATCGCACAATTGATGACACACTGGAGCAGTGAGCAGGTTTTTCCAGCAGTGGATGAGTCGTTCGGGAAGTGAGATGGCTTCCTCTGACGGGCACTTGGTCAAGGAAGCCGATGAGACATACAAGACTCATACAAGCAACAGCCCTCTTTCTTCTGAGGCTGTTTCTTGAAAATTGCCATATTTTTGTAATCCCTCTTGTCAGTCAGTGACTAACAATATCTTTTAAGGAAGAATCAGCGCACATTAAGAGCAACATTTTAAGGGCTCTATTTTCATGAATGGCATAAATCCTTGCACCATAACTCTGAGGCGGGTTGGACCGCGTGTTGGTCATTTCGCAGATGAGTTCTGCGCCGCTGTGGGAGTGTTCAGAGGTGACTTTGACCATGGACAATTAACTCCAACTCAGTCCTCTCATTCCCTTTCAAATTCAGCGCACTCGGGGATCCAAAACATCTGCGCTGTGAATTGGGCACTCGGAGAACCTAAACCTAACCGTAATCCATTCAATAAGTTGTCTTCTACTATGATTCAGATATTTTGATGCCGGCTTTTTATACACTTATGAATGAAATATGTCTGACGTTAACCACTCATGTCTGTGGAGCTTGTTATTTGTCTGCCTGTGCCCCACTCAAACGTACCAAGATCGCATTGACTGAGTCCCTCTGACAGAAACATCACCAGCAGCACTTGCTGTGCTGCGGCACCATGTCCAGGTTGGCGAGACCGGTCTGCCAAGTTGGCAAAGACACGCAGCATCCTTGCGCTCGCCGGAAAATCAGGATCCGCTGGCGTTTATTCAAGGCCGCTGATGCGCTATCTTCAAATATAGCACCCCAAATTATTTTATTGACGATATTGTCATGTGAAATGTGAGAGACCCCTCATGACTCGGAAAAACAATGTTGACCATCCACAGAATGATTTTCAACAAATATTGAACAGGTTTAACATTTAAGATTGTCTGCTCGGCGATTTTCCGAGGGGATTGAAAAATGACAAACTCCACAGCACAGGAAAATCGGTCAGCATAACCTCCGACAGTCCGGCCTTTGCTGACTTTGATTTTGTGTCGGTATTACTCTAATACAGTCTGATGGTTGGTATGCGTGTTGTACTGCATTAAAGTTGAAACCTCTATGTTCTTCAGGCCACAAACTGTTTGAGATAGAGCAGACAAATGCCTCAACCATTCAGCAGTCCGGCAAAATTGGCTTAACAGCAAGAGTAGCCCTGAAATGTATTGCGTATACCAGGGGTGCCCATTACGTCCATCGCGATTGACCGGTAGATCACTTTGGTCCCAAGTCGACCGTGTAGTGGAGAAAAAAAACAAACAACCGTTTATGTGTCTTTATGCATGTTAGTAATATTTTTTTGTGTGTTAATGCACACTGCACCCTAATCATCTTACCAGTTTCATTTTCACAAAAAATATTAAAAAAATAAAATAAAATAAAGCAGGTAAATCTTTAACCTACGGTGGCATGTGAACTGTGTCACCAGAAGTTGTTAGCGCTCAGCAGTCTGCAATTGCAGCTTATGATCAGAGCTGTTGCGCTATATCTTTTATCGTGATCATTATTCTCATTCAGAGTTTGTTTCGTGTACAATTCACAGAGGGCTTGGGCAAAGAATAGGTATCTAGAGGGCCCGGGGAAGCACTTTAAAACGGTATGTGTGAGCTCCGATAGTTAACGGGCTGCAAAAGTGAGTCGCATGTCTCAGTGTCAGGCTGTTGTTCATCATGGCGTGCGTGTGTATGTCCGTGCGTGTCCGCGGTAACTGGTCGATCGCGGGAGGTTGGTTGATCGAAAAGTCGATCTTCGGTCCAAAAAGTTTGGGCACACCTGGCGTACACTATATAAGTGATATATTGCCACAACTGTGTACACAATGGAGAAAAGCTTATCTCTTCACATTTATCCAATTATGAAGTCGACTTACGAACGATTTTGACATTTTTATTGTCGACTCTGTCCATCTGGTTGAGAGATATTTACTCTGCTTGCCAAGGCATGAGTCCCAGAAGTATGGATGAAGCTGTTCATGTTTCACATGCGTATGTTATGGGCCTAGAGGGCTAAAAAAACTGCCAGTGATATTTGTTCTCCTACAAAGTGAAGTAGTGCAGAAATGTGACCGTCTGAGCAATTCATTCACTTGCCCTGTATGCGGATAATGCAGGGGGAAAAAGGCCAGTCTTTTTTCCATGGTCTCCACCTGAATTCGTACTCTGAGGTTGCTGTTAGTGAAATACATCACTCTCTTCTCAGTCCTTTTCAGTTGGCAAAGTATGAACTGATTCTGAACTTCACAGCTTGCAGAACATTGTTGACTGAAGTGAACTTGAATTATGTGTTGATTAGTGGCACTTTGTTTTAATGTCTGCCATGTTGCACGTGTGTTTTTTGTTTGTCTGGTTTGTAAACAGGAAATGTGGGATTTCCCACAAGGAATTACATTGGACATTTGTCCAACGGCAACACGCAAAATCCAAGAAAACATCACTCTTGCCAGCATGCCTATTACACACACAGTGGAAAGAAAGTGAAAAGGTTAAGAACCATTAATTTAAAAAATAATAACAATAATTCAACTCCTCTGATTTCAGGACCTCAAATGCGCATACTGTACATTCTGATTTCTTTCGTCGCTTTTGTTGTTTTAAAGTGACGTCACACTTCTGGGTTTGGCGCTCATCAGTATCTCACTTTGGAAAAAAGATTACTTTGTCAAAGATTTTTTTTAAATGCTTTATTTAAATTTATTTTGTTTTGATTACTTGTGTCATCAAATTATTTCGTTTGGGGTTTTCTAAAATTACTTCCCAGGTAACCATTAAAAAAAAAAGGTAAAATCCTGCGTGGCAATCGAAAATGTTATTTAAAAATTGAAAATATTCAAAATATGAGTGCATGGATCGAATCCTCTGATTTGCAACTAACCATGCTGCAGAAGGATGCCAATATAATGTGTTGGGTGGCCAACAACGCCACAAAATTACCGGTCCCTTAGCAATGATAATGTAGGACACCAACCTACTATGAATTGCGAACAATAACTGCAGCCTATATAGCTTACCATTCTTCCGATCGCCATGGGTCGCGTCTCCACTCCATGTCGTTCGAACACATTTTCCAAATCCTGAGCATCTGGTTTGTACACGTCTGGTCCAACATAAATATTGCCAATAACCTCCTCTTGCTCCAACTCTTTAAACACCCGGATCCTCTCAGACCAGTTTACAATTTCGCTTTCCGAATCAATTTGTGACTGGCTTTGTATACTTTCCATATTGAGCTGCGTCGTTGTTGTTCTTGAATTGACGTCACACGTCCTGGTTTGTCGCTCGCCAGGTTTTACTTTTTCAAATTCATGAAAGAGAATGAATCTTTTAATGCTTTATTTAATTTTTTTTTGTCTAATTACTTTACCGGGGACGTAAAAATATTTCATTTGGGATTTTCTGAAATTACTTCTCAGTTGTCATGTCAGCAAAACAGCATCCATGTCAGCTTGGATTCCTGAAAACCAAAATCATAACGAATAAACATCCATCCATCCATCCATTTTCTGAACTGCTTTATCCTCACAAGGGTCGCGGGGCGTGCTGCAGCCTACACCAGCTGTCTTCAGGCAGTAGGTGGGGGACACCCTGAACTGTTGGCCAGCCAATCGCAGAGCACACAGAGACAAACAACCATTCGCGCTCACACTCACACCTCGGGACAGTTTAGAGTGTTCAATCAGTCTGCCATGCATGTTTTTGGAATGTGGGAGGAAACCGGAGTACCCGGAGAAAACCCACACAGGCATGGGGAGAACATGCAAACTCCACACAGGAAGGCCAGAGCCGGGATCGAATCCACGACCTCTGTACTGTGAGGTCGATGCGCTAACCACTGGCCCACCGGGCCCCCCCACTAATGAACATTTTAGCGGATTTTCTGAAATGTTTTGAATCAAACACTGACTCAGTCATTAACAGAACTTAAAGAGCTCTGCTCGTTTGTGAAAGGTGAGCTTTTACTAAACTCAACCCAAAATTTTCAATTATTCATTTGGGGGACAGACAATCAAGTCAAGTACAACTTTATTGTCAAATGTGCTGTATCTTGCACATACAGCATATTTGACAAGATGAAATTTCTTCCCTCTTAAGACAACATACAAAAAGAGCATACATACAATTAGATACATACAGTAACACAGATGCTGAAATAGTTCCATCTATGGCATGTTGTTAGTTCAAAGCATTTAATTACTTTCATCCCAGTACTTTTAACAGCTCCCTTTGGTGTGTGTGTGTGGTGATTGCGATGATACACTATGGGTTTGGTGCCATTTTATCTGATGCCATTTTATATGAATGTATTCCCACACATTCTTACATGTCGCTGTGAGGGATTTCTTGTGTCAGCTGAACACTGCCAAATCATCGGTTTAGTTTTCCTCCCACTGTTTAAACTGTATGTGGACCTTTCCTGTGGCCACACATTGCTTGGCGGTGCCTTCTGTGGCTGTGTTCCCTGGTGCTACTGGACTCCGCAGTACAATGATGATGATGATGATAATGATGATGAGAAACGTTATCGTTACTAGTCAACCCATTCGTAAATGGCAATTTGAAAATGTATCGATTTCTTAGTTCAGCGACGAACAGAAGATATGGAAGTATTATCAATGTTGCACTCTTTTGTATGTTGCAGGTTAAAAGCGCTAGCGTCAACCGGAGGCCGGAGTGTTCAAGCAGCTTGCGACTGGTGAGTGCAAACAAGGCTTGACTATGTAGTATATGTGGGGGGAAAAATACACACACTGTAAATAACATTATGACTCAGTAACACCATGATGTGTTACACTGCCCTCTCTTGGGCAAAAACCGCAGGAGCTCTCATCCGAAATGAGTACTTAGAGCAGTAATAAGTATATAGGACAGTAAATGTTTTGGAAGGCAATCATTTGTGTGCAGGGTACGCTCACCATTTTCTGGGATATGAACTGAAATGCTAAGCAGAACACATTATAATTAGAATGGTCCTCATTTGTGCCGACCTCTAACAAGGACAAAATGCTAATTTGGATCAGTACTATTTTGTAACCCCTTATAGGTATCCAACTTATGCAGATACCTTAATTTTGTCATTGACATTAGTCAATACTGAGATATTATGGATATATATCCATCCATCCATTTTCTGAGCCGCTTTATCCTCACAAGGTCGCGGGGTGTCCAAAGACGACTGAGATAGGCTCCAGCCTATCCCAGTCGTCTTTGGACAGTAGACGAGGGACACGCTGAACCGGTTGCCAGCCAATTGCAAAGCACACACAGACGAACAACCATCCACGCTCACACTTACACCTCGGGACAATTTAGAGTGTTTCATTAATATGCCACGCATGTTTTTGGAATGTGGGAGGAAACCGGAGTACTCGGAGAAAACCCACGCAGGCCCGGGGAGAACACGCGAACTCCACACAGGCAGACCGGAGCCGGAATCGAACCCTGCACCTCTGCACTGTGAGGTCGACTGGACCACCGGGCCGCATGGAAAATAAATGAATGAATGAATAAATAAACAAACAAATTAAAAAATCTATCTGTCAATTTGGATTCTAGCCAAAATAAATTCCATTTTTTCCTGTTGCCTCCCACCCACATTTCGTCAAAATGTTCTTCAAATGATTATTTCTTGCTAACAAACAAATGTCACAGAAAACATCCTCAGGATGACAGTGTGACAGTGATGAATAATATCTTTGCTGCATGCTCACCAAGATATTTCCTTCGTCTCTCAGGTTGTTTTCCCATGTGGACGACCCATTCCTGGATGACCCTTTACCCAGGGAGTTTGTCCTTTACCTGCGACCCAGTGGACCACTACAGAACCAGCTCTCCCATTTCTGGCAACAGAGTCGGATCGCATGTGGCAAAAACAAAGCCCACAACGTTTTCCCACACATCACGCTGTGCCAGTTCTTCATGGTGAGTTCAGGGAACTCATCCAACTTCAACTCAAGGTGTTTGAATTTAAACGTAACAATCTCAGCATTTCTTTGTGTTTCCATTTTCGCTAGTGTGCGGACCACAAGGTAGAGTCTCTCTGTGAGGCCCTCCAGACTACCGTACAGCAGTGGCGGGGTCGATTTCCCAGCCCCCTGCCCCTGGAACTGTACACTTCCTCCAACTTCATTGGTCTTTTCGTAAAGGAGCATGTGGCTGAGGTCCTGAAGCAGTTTGCGGCTGACTTCGGCACAGAGGCAGCGAGGAAAGCTGGTATGAAGCAAAAGGATAAAGTCGATATGCTATAACAGCTTGCCACCCTACACGGTAATCGTGTGATGAACCATGAGCAATTTTCTTTTGCAGCTGTAACAATGACTAATTGGAGGTCCGGTTGGCTTATGAAAGCACTCACTCAGTATGTCACTCTGATTTTCACAAAACACAGATGAAAACGAGACTAATGAGCAAGAATCATTTCAGGCAGTTTAGTGCCAAATTAGATTTGAGTCAATGTGTGATATGGGCTAATTGTTTTCCAGTCATGTGCTTCATGGTTGACAGACAGATTAGGGCAGGGGTGCCCAAACTCTTTTAACCAAAGATTTACTTTTCGATCAACCAGCCTCCGGAGATCGACACATTACCGCACGTGCGCATACGCACACACTTACACGCGCATGCCATAATGAGCAACAGTCATAAAGGCCCCAAAGATGAACAAAGCATGGGACGCACTTTTGGAGCATGTTGACTTCGTAGCTCACGTGTACCGTTTAAAAATGCTTCTCTCGGCCCTCCACATTCCCATTCTTTGCCAGTATTCATTCATTCATACATTTTCCGATCCGCTTAATCCTCACAAGGGTCGCGGGGGGTGCTGGAGCCTATCCCAGCCGTCATCGGGCAGTAGGTGGGGACACCCTGAACTGGTTGCCAGCCAATCGCAGGGCTCTTTGCCAATACTCTCGGTGAATTGTACATGAAACGCCGTTTTTTTTTTTTTGTTTGTTTTTTTTAAAACAACAGCAACCTGCCTGTCATCCCACCCTGCTAATAGAAACTCTTGCAAGCTATGACGCAAATCTTCATTGACAGAAATGTTGAAATGTAATATTTATTCTACACATTTTTACAGCATTGGAAAACGTTAAGAATGTTTGTGTCATGTTTGTCCTCCTACAGAAACCAGATTAAAACAAAAAATATATTTCCCTCCCCCATATTTTTCCATTTTCAAACATTTTTGAAAAACCTCCAGGGAGCCACTAGGGCGGTGCTAAAGAGACCAGGGAGCCACTAGGGCGGCGCTAAAGAGACGCATGCGGCTCTGGAGCTGCGGGGTGCCGACCCCCTATCTAATGGATGCATCGTGCAACCGCAGCCACGATTCTAGACGCATGCGGCTCTGGAGCTGCGGGTTGCCGACCCCCAATCTAGTGGATGCATAGTGCAACCGCAGCCACGATTCTAGCTTCTATTCTATGCGCCTTATAATTCAGTGGGCCCTACATATGAAAACTGTTTTAAAATAGGCCATTGATTGAACATGCGCCTTATAGTGCAGAAAATAGGGTGTATAAGTATAAAGGAATATCGGTAAAGGACATGGCCCACTTGATCTGTGTTTTCTGATGTTATTGCTTATTCATAATCTGATATGGTTAGAATGACATTCCTAAAGCAACACATATCAAATGAAGACCATAGCACAATACTGTACACACTGCACGTATTATATTACAGTATTAGGTTGATCAAAGATCTCCTTTTTTTTAAGCAGAGGTCCATGTGGAGCCTCATAAGAAACAGCTCCATGTAACACTGGCCTACAATTTCCCCACCGATCACCTCGCCACACTGGAAAAACTGGCGAAGGGCATCGAGGTGAAGCTAGGTTGTGATTGGCTGGCAGTTCTTTTCTCCCGGGACATTCGTTTTGCAAACCATGAGGTAACACTCAGCCATGTTCATTACTTGTCGTTGCTGTTCTATATGTGGTGACTGAAATCAGAAGTAGGACATCTGCTGTTCATTTTTGATATGCTGTATTTGTAGTAGCCGCTCTGTTATACAGACTGTAGATGGAAATCGAAGAACAATAACATCATCTGTATTCTCACATTATATATTTATTGTAACAAAAGCCGTTTCTCAATATCAAAAAGCAGAGTGTGTTCTCGTGAACTGGGCGAGTATAGTCTTTGTAACGTACTTCCTACACTAATTTCTTTGTAAGTGGAACTTGTGCATTTCGCCCCTGGCTCTGACTTATTTCCGTAACTCATCACAGTTCTGTCATCATTATGTTAGCTATCATGTGATTAGAGTTCAATAAATTTGTACTGCCCTTTAGATCCTATTTCATGATAAATGGTTTTCCCATTTTTTTTCAGTCTTGCGACAGTCATCTTAGAGTACTTTCAAATATCCAGTTTTGTGTCAGTGAATTTGTTGTTAATTTAAAGGTATGCTTAAATGAAACGTGAGTCCTCTCCTCCACTGTCATTTTGGCCATTTTCATCGTCCTACAAAATGCATCTTGGGATATTTTCCCAGCCATGTCTTCATAAGTCAGCAACCGATTCGGTGTGACTTTCAAAAAAAACTGTTCAAACCATATGAACCACTCATTAAAGGTATCATATACTAAAAGGAGAGCTATATCAATATCAAAATTTTGTTCATTCAGTAAATGAATCCTAATGATGTAGCAGCATTTTTTTGTCATACTGCTTGTATCAGCTACAGTATATATTGTCCCACTTGCAGACTCTACGAGTGATGTACCCCTACACACCGCAGAATGAAGATGAGATGGAGTTGGTGGTGGGGGATTTTGTCTTCATGTCTCCAATGGACCAGAGTAACGCCACGGAGGGCTGGGTGTACGGGACCTCCCTCGCCAGCGGGCTATCAGGCCTGCTGCCCGAAAACTACGTGGGCTTAGCTGACGAGTCCGACACTTGGGTCTTCCATGGGTGAGCGTGGCACACAGATTTCATTTCACTGGTATACAGTAGTACGGTGCTTCTCAATTATTTTCTGTCATGCCCCCCCCAGGAAGAAGAAAACATCTAGCGCGTGACTATAAATAGTATCATTTGTCTATAAAATTGTTATAAGTACACATTTGCATAACACTGTATCCTTATTAACGTATAAGAGAATAAAAAAGAAAGAAATATGGACCAACTTAAAACAAAGAATAGCTTTAGTAACAGAAAAGATTTTAAGTGCATCTGAAATTCAAAAATAAAATAAAAATACTTAATTAAACTATAAACATTTTTTGACTGACCATGTTAAACCATACAATACTGAAAAATAAAATTACATAAAATAATAATGCATTCAAACTGATCACCAACATTAATTCAGGAGCACATTATGAAAACCTGCAAAACAAAAATATATAAAATAATTTGTGCTGATTTTTTTTAAATCAAAAATGATGTCTGGATTAATGGCTGCAAGTAGCAGTCACAAAGCGGGATGATTGTTGCCAATATTCGGCATGTTTTCGCTGAAAAAAACTCAAGGGGCTTATCAGCGTGATTGGGGTGTCATGTCTTTAAGTGACACCTTAATTTATTTGGCTTCATGCTGTCCGCTGCCAACATTTTTAGACACAGTAGGTATATCGGTCTTTCCTCGTCTCCCACCGTAGTCACAGTGAAGCCAAGCGTGACATACGCTTCGTCATATTTCCTTTTCTTAGCTTTCGGGAGACGTTCTCTTTTCTCCGTCTCTCTCCGCCTGTCGACTTTGTGTCTGCACTTCATACTCATACTCTGTGCCGTGTGCAAAGCACGGATGCTCAGTGCAAACAAAACATAGAGCGAATGCTCCCTGCGCACACTCTGCCAATGAGAGAGTCACTGCCCCCTAATTTAGTGGAGGTTCAATTGCACTTTATTCTAGGACAGTAAAAAATAAAAATAAAAAAGCATGTTCCCTGAGGTCAAACGCGCCCCCCTTGATGGCGCCCCCAGGGGGGCGCGCCCCACTATTTGAGAAGCACTGCAGTAGTAGGAGGTTTTACATACCTGGCGCTGTTATTGCCATCCCAACCACCATGTAATGTACCTGTGGTGGAAATACAACCCTCATAAGTTTACCATGCTGACCATTTCTGAGGCAAAGTGACCTGAATAGTGCCACTTGCTGGAAACATGATTGTGTGTGCAAAATTTAACCTTTGCAAAAAAATGACTAATATTACTGCAGCTCAGTCATTTACAGTAGCTGTGAAACTGTTCTTCGTTGATGTCCGTATTATAATTCCCCCAGATGGCCAAGGCATGTACACGAGAAAAGACAGCACAATGCCCATCAAAATTAAAGAATGTGGCAAAAAATGGATTGTAGAACAGATCAATGGCATTTCCATAATATTCAATGGGGATAGCTGATTTGAGTTACAAATGTTTTGAGTTCTGAGCGCGGTCACGTATTGAACATATCTTAAGGCACCACTTTATCACCACAACATAGTTTGACCATGAGTGGACAAACTTTTAAATAGACTGTTCCTCCGGTTCCTTATTCATGATGGACTTCAACTGTTTCTATAGTCTCTGTGTGATTGTTATAAACAGCCGCAAAATATCAGCGACAATTTGTTCATTCAATTCAGCTAAATCTGCAAAGCAACAGATGGTCGTAATGCTCTATTTGGTGACATGCTGTATCTTCTTCTCCGTCACAGCTCCCATTCATTCTTCACCTCTGAGCCCTCTGATAAAACCATTAGGGAGAGGAGAATGTTTGTTGGACTGCTGGACAGCCGACACCACGATACAAGTCCTGGAGACACACCAACTGTCAGTCTTATTTGTCATCCAGTGCAGGTTGGTTTGTTATTTTGAGAGATGGATGCATTACGTGACAGACTTGACTCACCTCTTTGATGAGTGTCTTAATGAGTTAGAATTGTAAAATTAAACTCAATTTGTCAGGCGGCTCTGCACTAGATGGCGCGTTTCAGCATAGAGAGGGCATGTTCTTTGACACGCCCCCGGTGCACTTGACAAGTTAAAGACTGAAAGTAGACAAAACTTTGTATCTGCTATAACCGCAGCGAATAATTGGCACAGAGAGTGTTTGGGTGAATGTCATTGAAGTGCAGGCAGACAGAGTCTGAGCTCTGGTGGATATCTTCCTATTTCATTTCTTCTAATATGACAAGGGCGTGCATCGAACCCTCTGAATCATTGTTGGAGTTAATTCATTGCACACACTGTTATTGTGACAATCATCTTCATGATATTTTTAACCCTTAAAGGGAGAGCAGTTACTACAGTGGACAGCTTATCATGTTCTCAAGTTACAGGGTGCATGAAAGGGTTAAAATCGCCCCCCCCTGGAATATGACACAGCTATTGGTGGGGTCGCGGTGGTCAGTCATACATGGACACGTGCTATCGAGGTTGAAGGGTGTTTCCAAGTACCTGATTCACAGATCTGTTGGCCAACTTTACATCATCCACCCGTGGAGGTCCGCTTGCAGTTTCTCACCAATGTACTTTGCTCTCTTTGATCTCCTGCATGGACTCCAGGAAATCAGTTTCTGCTTCTGTCATGTCAAGGACTTTGCATCTCTTGTGCACTGATTTTAAAGGGGGTGAGAGGAGCCGCTTTGATTGGCTAAGCAGGTTTGTTGTGTTCACTCCCACAACGGTGCCAAACCCCCTTTTCTAACTTAAGCTACGTACTGTACGTCTGCAAAAATATCAAAATGAGACTAGCCCTCCTGTGCACAGCTTTACAACACTCTGCGCAGCAGACTTGCACAAGGCATGAATATAGAGACCTACGTGTAAAATAAATAAATAAATAAATCACCCCATTAATTGCAGTCAGCAGATTTTCCAACATTGTCATTAAATTCTGTCTTTTTTTCTTTTTTTTTTTACAGCAGGTCCTGCGGATTACTGGTAATCACACTCGTCAGCCCAAGCGGTCATTTTTTGTTTGTCGACACGGTGAAAGAATGGACGTGGTCTTTGGAAAACACTGGCTCTCACTCTGCTCAGACAGTAAAGGTTAGCATTATCCTTATATTCTAATACCTTTCGTGTCAGAACCTGGATCCATTTTCTGATCTGCTGAGCCTCACAAGGGTCGCCAGGCGTGCCAAAGCCTATCCCAGCTGTCATCGGGCAGTAGGTGGGGGTACACCCTGAACTTGTTGCCAAACAATCGCAAGGCACACGTAGACGAACAATCATCCGCGCTCACACTCACTCCCACGGACAATTTCGATTGCTTCCAGTACAGTATAACCATTTCTTGCGAAAAGGGTCACGGTAATTTGGTTCAGTAACCAGAGTAACTGTTGACACATATGGTGCAATTAGGATATGAGCACCTGTTTGTCACAAGCTATATCTGGTGAAGACTTTTTAGAATAACACTCTTATCTTTGAATACTTTTTTTGCAGGTAGATACGTCCGTTCCAATTTAAATATGCCACTGACTTTGCCACTGTGGGGAGCACAAAGGGATTATGACATGGACGCACCTGTGACTGTGTTTGGATCCACGCAATCACAATTAGTAGGTATGTCATGTTAAAAAAAAACAACAACAACAAAAAGGGTTTTCCAATACTTATATAATATTGTCTTGATATTACAGATTTGTATGAAATGTTTTTCAGGTGAGGCCCTTTTAGAAGGTAACATTGTGATCGATTTTGTGTATTGCTCACCTGCTCTGCGATGTGTTCAGACTGCCCAGAGCATCTTGAAAGGTAAGGAAAATTCTTCGCCAAAAGTCAGTTGGATTTGACATCCTCCTAATTGCACCAGATCTGTTTCCGTGGGAAAGGTATGCAGCAGGACGGCAAGCTGAAAATTCGGGTGGAGCCGGGTCTTTTTGAATGGACCAAATGGCTTTCCAGGAACTCCCTGCCTGCATGGATACCTCCTGCTGACCTTGCTGCAACCCATTTCAGTGTGGACACGACATACAGGTGACGACGCATGAGAAAGATGTTTAGTTTCTGTCTTTGCGGTTAGAGCACCATTATTTTGCAAAAATTTGCTCAAAACAAAGTGCATTTTTCAAAACTATTCCGACATGTATCCAAACACGGCGGTTCCCCTACAGAAGCCATTCTTTTTCTCAAAATCATTCGAGCTAAAACTAAATACCAAATACAGTCGATTTCTGTGGCTTAGCAACATACTAGCAAGAGGCAAATAAATAGCCTCCAGCCTACTGTCACTCACACCGCTTAAAGACATCTGCATTCCTTTTATTTGTCTGCTTTTTATCTTCTTTTTCTAAACCGGGCACCTGAGTACGGAAGCTGAATACATTCAAATATATGTCAATACAAATATGTTCGAACGTACTTGAAGGCTGAAAAGCTACAAATGTCGCATTTAGACTCCAACTACAATGCATTGGAGCGAGAATAAAACTGCAAAATAAGAATGCACATCCATCCATTTTCCGATCCGCTTGTCCTCACAAGGGTCGCGAGGGGTGCTGGAGCCTATTCCAGCCGTCTTCGGGCAGTAGGCAGGGGACACCCTGAACCAGTTGCCAGCCAATCGCAGGGCACACAGAGACGAGCAACCATCCGCGCTCACACTCTCACCTAGGGATGATTTGGAGTGTTCAATCAGCCTGTCATACTTGTTTTTGGAATGTGGGAGGAAACCAGAGTACCTGGAGAAAACCCACGCAGGCCCGAGGAGAACATGCAAACTCCACACAAGAAGGTCGGAGCTGGAATTGAACCCGGTACCTCTTCATTGTGAGGTCAATGTGCTAAACACTGGACAACCGGACCGTCCAAGAATGCACATTGGTTGCTTAATTTTCAAATGTATTGGGATTGGTATAATTAAAAAAGGTTTAGGTTCGATTTTTTTCCCCCCATAATGCCACGGTGTATGTGCATGCGGAAGTCAATAGTGGCATCCCATGTGGCATTATGGGGAAATGCTCCGTTTGTAGCTTTTAGCCTCCAAGTACGTTCAAACATATTTACGAGTTTGTTCCTATGTATTTGCGAGTAGCTTCGAAAGTACTTGCGAGTGCATTTGAATGTATTTGCCAGTTAAAATATTTTTCTACTTGACATTGGCCACCCCACCCCCAAAGCTATATAGGGCTATTTCCAAACATCATTCAGCTGTGGATGTCCGCAGTTCTTCAATCAATCATTCACATTTAAAGCACATAAATGAGCAGGTATTTATTTCTGTACAGACCGCTGATCCCCATCGGTAAGCTTACAGTGTCGGAATCGTATGAGAACTACATGAGTCGAAGCCACCAAGTGACCAAAGAGATCCTATCAGACTGCAAAAACACTGGTAAGAGTTTGGCAGAGGAGGGTGAATGTTTGCCTGGTATATGTTGTAATGGGGAAAAAAAGGAGAAAAAAAATAGAGGCTAACAAATAAAGCACGCCTGACACATACAGTAGCTGCTCATGACCTTGTGGTGCTGAATGCATTGAGCCATTGCCTTTGTATGTTATTGAACTCATTTCTATTTTCGAATGGCTTGTAAGTGTACAATATATATATATTTTTTTTATGATGTGCATGTATTGTGACAAGCATTTGTCCACAGTTGCATCCTGTTTCCGCTTTCCTTAGGAAACAATGTGCTGATTGTAGCTCACGCCTCTTCCCTTGAGGCCTGCACACGCCAGCTGCAGGGTTTCGTCCCGCGAAGCGCCAAAGACTTCATCCAAGGAGTTCGAAAGGTTACTGGATTGCTTTTTTTTTTTCATGTGCTGGAATCCCCAAATTATCAAATACAAAGTGATGTTGAGGGCGCTACATAAAAAAAAAAAAAAAAAATACACATACACTTATACTGTGTGTGTGTGTGTGTGTGTGTGTGTATACATATATATATATATATATATATAAGAATTTCATCAAAAGTGTGTGTGTGTGTGAGCATAGAAATGATTGTGGGGATATATATCTATGTATGTTGTAATTGTGATTTTTCTTTTTTAACTGCACAGGACTTTGAGTTGCATTTTTATGTGAAAAGTACTACTTAAATAAAGTTTGATTGATTGATATAGCAAAAAACAAAAACGAATAAAAAGTAAACTAAATGAAAAGCTTTTTGAAAAATAAAAACATGTTAACGCCCTAAAAACAAATGACAACTAATAACAGAATTCTAAAAAAAAAAAAAAAAGAAAAAAGTCACTTTAATGAAAAATCCAAAACGATTATAACCGTGGTTCTTATGAATAGATTTCAGTTTTGTTCCTTATCATAACTTCAAATGTACCGTATTTTCTGCACTATAAGGTGCTTTGGATAATAAGGCGCACCTTCAATGAATGGCCAATTTTAAAACTGTTTTCATAAATAGGGCGCACTGCATTATAAGGCGCATGGAATAGAAGCTTCATCTAGTGGCTGGGGTTGCGCTATGCATCCACTAGATGGTGCTACGCCTACGGGAATACAATAGCTTTTTTTTTTTTATATTGAGCCTTCACAACCGCTGCAGCTGTAACAATGACAACTGGTCACAAACACGGACATGAAACATGTCAATACAAATGGCATTACAAAACAATAAATGAAAGACAAAAGTTATGAAGACAATGGATTCAACAAAAAGGCACATAAACCTCGTGGGATCACATTCACAAGTGGGGTAAATAGCCTTAGAAGTCTTGCTTGTCTCCTTCTTCCTTCATTTAGTCAGTAGTTAACTCTGCTTTTGGTATTATCTTCGTTTCATTATGGTAAGTAGTTGTCTGTTTGAGTGTGTCGGGCAGAACTCTTTTACATTACAATTGGTTCCTGCTAATAATTACCACTATATGGCATAGGAACACACAAACAGGGAAACAACTGAATCCGGAATATAGCGTTACAGTCTCTTGATATTAGGCACACTGGGTTATAGGGTGCGCTGTCGGTTTTTCGAGAAAATTGAATGCTTTTTGGTGCGCCTAATAGTGCGGAAAATACGGTACATGCTAATATGGGTCTTGAAGTGGTAAGGCTTTGGAAATCCTTATCTGCGGCTCTATGACATCTAAATGGAAACAGTTAGTTGGACTCTTTGTCTTTCAGATCCCTTACCTGGGCCTCTGCTCTTGCGAAGAGCAGGGCAACTCGGGGCAATGGCGGATGGTCGACCCGCCCGTCCTCCCACTCACACATGGCCCAAACCACAGCTTTGACTGGAGGGAGACACTTTTACATGAATAACATTTGTTGGCTTATCAATTCCACCGAGTGCACCATCCAGCGGGATGCAGCAAGAGCGCCCAACACTGGGCCTGTCTACAAGAGTTTGATGTTGGTTTAATGAGTGACTCAAAGGAGACGTTCATTTTGGCACTGCGGAGATAATGACACTAAAGGACAGGTGGATCAAACTCAATTGATGTATCTTCATCATAAATCTCAGGAAATGTTAGTGGAATCTCCAAAATTGAACATAATCCATACATTTTACATGAGCCTTTTCTGTAATGCATGTTTTGTTGAACTGACTCACATTTTATTTGAGTGAGCAGCCAGATGCCTCGCCAGGTCACAGTAAGCACCATTCCCAGGTCTGTGGTTGTCATCGCACTCTTACTCTTTGTCGCTGCTGGTAAATTCAGTGGTGGCATCCCCAAAAGTCAAGGGGAAAAAAAAAAACTAAACGTGGTTCTGGAGTGAATTATTTAGATGGTCGCTGAGTTACGGCCTCACAAAACTTGATGAATCGTGTCTAACATCGGGCGTCGCGATGATTTTGACTTTGGAGGTTCCACTTGGCTCCGTCAACACCGTTTGCATCATTTGTAAAGCAAAAAATACAGAATAAGATTCTAACTAATGAGGACGGCTGCAACTGGGGAAAAATATTCACACACAGTAATTCCATTCTCTTTGTGGCACCACTTTTTTCTAATAAAACTGTGAGCAGGAACTCTATGACAGGGATTTAAGATAATCAAGAGAAAAAAAATAGAGCATTGGCTCTCTCTCAACTCATCTTTTTGAGGCCCATCTTCTTCCACCATTGTTGCTTTGTGGTGCCAATTCCCATCATAACGTGTCTATGATGTACTGCAACCATGCTTCATGCTCGACATGTTAATTGCTGGATTCCAGACTCGGGTTTCCATGCAAATACTTACATGTGGTGTCTCACAAAAGTGAGTACACGCTTCACATTTTAGTATCTATTTTATTCTACTTTATATCTTTTCCTAAAACAACATTAATGAAGGCGGCCTGGTGGTCCAGTGGTTAGCGTGTCGACTTCACAGTGCAGAGTTCAACTCCAGCTCCGGCCTCCCTGTGTGGACTTTGCATGTTCTCCCCCGGGTTTTGCGTGGGTTTTCTCCGGGTGCTCCGGTTTCCTCCCACTTTCTCAAAACATGCATGGCAGGCTGAATGAATACTCTAAATTGTCTCTAGGTGTGAGTGTGAGCGCAGATGTTTGTTCGTCTCTGTGTGCCCTGCGATTGGCTGGCAACTGGTTCAGGGTGTCCCCCGCCTACTGCCCCATGATGGCTGGGATAGACTCCAGCACGCCCCATGACCCTTGTGAGGATAAGTGGATCGGAAAATGGATGGATGAACGTTGATGAAATGACACTCTGCTCCAATGTACGGAAAATAGTCAGTGCACAACTTTAATAACAAGTTAAATTGTTGTCCTCTCAAAATAGCTCATCACACAGCTACCGTTTTACTGTCTAACCTGCTGGCAACAAAAGTGAGTACAGTACACCCCAAATTGGGCCCAACTGAAATAAAAGAAACAGCAATATACTTTATGTGAAACAACCTTTTTTTTTTTTAAGTTTAGCCAACATGTTTGGGGAAAAATAGGCCCCGAATGCCAAGTAAAGTTTAAAAAGTAGTAGTTCAAACCATCATTTTTAAAAAATCACGGAGATTAACGCCACTAGCGCTTTAGTGTTTGGTCGCGTGTGTGTGTGTGTGTGTGTGTGTGTGTGTGTGTTTTGAGAGCGGTACCACTTAAATTCTGATGAAAACTTCTGAACCAACTAATCAACTTAACCCTTTCACGGACAGGCGGTCACTGCAATGGACAGTTTATCATGTTATCAGGTTTCAGTACAGGGGGCGTGAAAAGGGTTAATATTGCGACAATGGCAAGGTCGAGGCTGCTCCATCGTACTATACAAGCAAAGCATTTAATTAAATATAAACTAAATGGCACATAGCTGGAAGCACAATGGTTTATGACCAGCTTAAAATACATTTCCCAAGAAGCTTAACGCATTCTTTTATTTAATTTTGGTTTATTTTTACTCTTAGAGTGCTTAACTAATGGAAGCGCGGTGGACTAGCGGTTGGTATGTCTGCCTCATAGAGGTCTAGCAAGTTCAGTTCTCCTATGTGGATTTTTCATGTTCTTCCTGCACTTGCGTGGGTTTTCTCCAGGGGGTGAACTTTTTTTTTTTTATCAACACGTATGACAGTGATGATTGTTAAAAGATCACCAGTACAGTTTATTCACTCTGTATTACTTTCTATTTTTGTTTTGAAATCAAAACACCTCGGAAGCCGAGCAGCTTGAATGGACTGTGTTCCACATTGGAGGTTCCACGATATCAGAGTATAGTCAATGTACAAAAAAAAAAAAAAAATCAACACCGCACTTGATTGACAGCCAAAACCTTTTGGCTGTGGAAGTGAATCTCTCAGCACAAACAAGTTCATTCCAAACAAATTTTAGCAAAATAATTTAATTTAAAATGGACACAGTGGTTTTGTTTTGTGGGGGGGTGTTGCTCAGGTCATTTATATTTTCATACATAATATTCACGCTTTCTTTTTAGATATACAGGAGATGCTCACGTGCCTGCTTTGTCATTGTGCATGACTAATCACACTTATGATTTTGGTTGCAGCACTTAGTTTTTGTATAAGATCAATATTTTCATTCTCCAAAAAATGTATTTATGGACAATCCTTTTTTTTTTTTTTACATTAGTTTCTTCGACTACATAATGTGTAGATTCAACTGTTAGTTTAATGATGGCCTCAAATGGCAAATCTTGCGTCTCTCTGTGTCAGGAATTTTTCACCGTCTTGGATGAACTAACATTTATTTGTGGAGGAAATTCTGGGACCAAAAAAAGGATAATATAGGATTACATGAATGCATTTTATTTATTCCGTGGACATATCAGCAATTTTGTAGAACAAAAAAAGTATCATATAGTATTACAGAAATGCATTAAATTTATTCCTTGGACATATAAACAATTTTGTACAACATATTTATTTTTGATTGAAGATGTAAGCTTGAAATATCATCTGACGGTGTTTTTTTTTGGGTGGGGGTGTCAGAATTAGGTTGTGTAAAGTGATGATTTTGTTTGTCCATATTATGGTTTTCTTTGCATCGACTGTAGAAGGGAGTACCTCTATACTCAAAATTCCAATTCATGTGAAATGTTTGTTTGCTACTCTTGAATATTTTTTTTAGCATGGCCTTTTATTTGTGTGTGAAATTATATTTCCTCATCTGTAGCTCTGCCTCAGAAATCATCTTTATTGGCCAAGTATGTTTTGTGTAAAACACAAGGAATTTGTCTCCAGTAGTATGAACTACCCGATTATTTCAACTACGATAAACAAAGATATATATATATATATTAGCATAGAAAGACTTTTCATAATGTCAGGGTACCATTGGGCCATAGTACCACCCAATTGCCGGCTATGCGACAATGTGCAGAGCCATCGAGCAGAAATAAAGTGATCAGTGGTGCGATATTTACAATACGATGACGGTTGTGCAGTTGGTGCAGACAATCGTTGCACCATTTTTAAGTGAGCAGTATCAGGAATTGTAGGACCACTTTAGGGATGCAGGGAGTGCATACAGGTAATTGGAGGCCATACACGCTACTCAGCCACATCTACAGCGCCAATATGAATTGTTTTGAGGAAGTTCACCCAACTTGGATCTGCCCGATTTTGAATTCGGCCCTCGCTAGGTTAATGACTGGCGGTCTACTGACCGTTCTTTCTTTACCTGCTATCAATATTTTTTACCTGCAATACTTCCAAGATCTGTGACGCGTTGCCTTTAGTTTCGTCGTTGTGATCGGTTGAATGTAGATGAATGTATAAAAAAACATTGGACACACGAAAAAAATATGCCACACAACTTTATTTCAATGAATTAAATAGATGCCACATTCACACCAGGGTAAACCAAACAGAAAGACGCTTGAAGGAATTAATAGTTTAATAGCTTATAAATGCAACACTGCGTGCTGTGAAAATGTACAAATAAACAAGTTAACATTTAAAGCTGAAAAGAGGACTCGCATTGAACTCAAGGGGTAAAATGAAACACTAGAATAAAGACTGGCAAACAAAACACATTTGTGGTTTCAAACGAAGTGTACTGCAGGCAGAATGACCGTATCTAGAAAGTAGATACCGTGTATTTATTCATACGGCACGCTCATTCAAAAAAGAGCCTTTATGACAAGTATTCCACAACTAGGGCACCTTTTGGTACGTGACATGAAACGTGTAATAGTCCAGTAGAATAATTATTTCACATCAAAACGTTTTCCCTCCACCACATAATAAAATTATTATTTTCCATTACGAGGCCGTGTGGGACAATGTAGCAATGTATTGAAACGGATATTGTGTTTTGAGTTTTTCAGTCAAATTGAAGGTTTACCTTCATTGGCTGTAAATGAGTTTGTTGTGAGGTTTGGGGAATTTTTGGAGCGCGTCTGAGGGGACGTCACTGGCGGGATGATGGAGGTGGCTTCAAACCTTTGGCAAAGGCTGTTTCAGACAACCAATGACATCAACACATACATGCAAAATAAATATTTATGGTGTTGTCAGTATAGCACTTGCATGTTAAAAAAAAACAAAAAACAATGCCACTTTTAATTTTGTTCTTTTTTTATCGCTAAAAGTTGGAATATTTAAAGTCAATGTTCCCTCTAATTTTCTACGCGTCTGAGCATTCACACAAACTCCCTTGAGTATTCCTTGGACCAAACCAGTATCCTGTATAAAACCTGAGATCATAACAAGTGATGTAAGTATGATATAACACATTTCAAACCACCTGTAAAGGACGACAAGTTTATTTGATAAATTGTCCGCAATCTCAAACATTCCTGCTGACTTCCTGTCAGGCGGAAGTATTATTTTGAAAGAATGCAGAAGGGGATAACGGTTGGAGAGAGAGATTTGTGACATGAATGAAATCAGCCCAGTTTTGTTACTTTTATTTTAGCACCTGCCATCCCGCGCATCCTGTCAGTGGTGATTGTGAGGGAGTGTCTGTGTGTCAATGTACAGCCGTGGCCAAAGGTTTTGAGAATGAGACAAATAATAATTTTCACAGTCTACTGCCTATTTTATTATGATGGCAATTTCCATGCATTCTATTTGCCACACTGTAAGGCGCACCTAAAAGCATTTAATTTTTTCAAAAGCCGACAGTGCGCTTTATAATCCGATGCGCCTTGTATGTGGATTAATATTCAGATTTCTTGGAAGTAGTATTTTAAATGTTCTGTAAAGCGCTTTGTTCCAGCTGCAGCGGTTGTGGAAGCTCTATATAAGTACAGCTGTGCAGTGGTACCTCTACCTTTGAAATTAATTGATTCTGGAAGAAATTTCTTAACTAGAAAATTTTGTAAGTAGAGACGCGTTTTCCATGTAAATGCACTAATCTTTTCCAAATCCCCCCAAAATTCAGACATAAATGTTTTCTTGAGCATAAAAATGCATCAAAATATGTAACAAATAGATGTTACAATTAGATTATTGCACAATAAATGAGAGTTGTGCATAATGTAAAAAACAAAGAATGGAGCAGTGGTTCTTAACCTGGGTTCGATCGAACCCAGGGGTTCGGTGAATCGATCTCAAGGGTTCGACGGAGCCTCCGCCATAGAGGTTAAGACACACGCGACTCAACATGTAAATTAGTTATGACATGCCTGCTTGACCATCACTAGCTACAGATGATCACATTACATTGCTTGTGCAATCAGTGCTGCGGGAAATTTAGTTCCCTCAGTAGTCAAGGTGTGACTGCCATGATAGTACGTCACACAATTTTAAAAAACTATACTGAGGCCAAGTAATTTTATTTACTTTTTTCTGTTTTTTAATAAATGTGTTTTTTTAATGTCGTGAATTTGTAAAAAATCGTATTTTTATTTTTCACTAAAGAAGGGTTCGGTGAATGTGCATATGAACTGGTTGGGTTCGGTACCTCTAACAAGGTTAAGAACCACTGGAATAGAGTAAAGAATAAAAATGATGGTCATTTAACTTTTAACTGCATCCTCATCGTTTTTTGCCCTCTTTAGTCCACGTTCTCTCTCAGAAGTGTTTTTTTTTTGCCTGGCGTTTTGTAAAGAACCGATCCAAGGATGTTTGCTTTTGTCGGCTTTTAACAATCCTTTGAAAATGTCCAAGGCAAACATCAGCATAGTGAGCGATCGCCGAACTGGTGAACTTTTTCTGGGTGATTCACATTTATGCAAAACTATCGTAACGCCTCGTGGCACGAGGGGAGAATGACGAGGACGCTGCATAAACACCTATCTATCTATCTACACGCATAGACACATACGGTAGAGGTCCCTCTTAGCCAATGGGATGCCAGTAATAGCCAATGGCAGAGCAGCTATAAGTATGTTGCGTTCAGGAAACTCGAAGCTGCGTGGAGCAGCCCATACTGTATTTTTACCTTTTGTATTTTGAAATTTCTTCCGTAACAAGAGGCAATATTTCCTTTTGAGGCGTTTCGTAAATTGAAATTTTCATCTGAAGAGACGTTCTTAAGTAGAGGTACCATGGTATTGTATTGTATTCCCTGTAGCATGGCTCGATCTAGTGAATGCATAACACAACCGCAGCCACTATTGTAGCTTCTATATTATGCGTCTTATAATGCAGTGCGCCCAACATATGAAAACAGTTCTGAAATAGGCCATTCATTGAAGGCGCGCCTTGTACTCCAAAGCGCCTTATAGTGCGGAAAATACGTATTCCAAAATGTTTTGAAGAATGATCAGATGGATAGCAATAAATTGCAACGTTCCTCTTTGCCATAAAAATGATCTGAATTAAACTCAAAGGAGAGAGGTTCAATTGCTGTGGAGAAGGCTTTAGGCAGCCCAAGAATGTCCAGAAAACATCAGGATTACAATACAATACATCCCGATTAAGATTGTCTCCTAAAGTTGATTCAGCTGTGGGATCGGAGCACCACCAGTGCAGAACTTCAGTCAGGAATGGCAGCAGGCAGGTATGAGTGCATTTACATGCACAGAGAGGGAAAGACTTGGAGGATGGCCTGGTTTCAGGAAGGAGAACAAAGAAGCTAATTCCCTCCAGAAAAAAAAAAAAAAACACTCGGGACAGACTGATATTCTGCAAAAGGTACAAGGATTGGACTGCTGAGAACTGTGGTAAAGTCATTTTGTCTGATAAATCCCCCTTTCCGATTGTATGGGGCATTCGGGGGAAAAAAAACCCAGAACCCTTGTTGGGAGAAGAAAAGGTGAGCGCTAGAATCGGTCCTGTGTCATGCCAACAGTAAAACATCCTGAGACCTTTCACGTGTAAGGATTCATCTGAGCCCAGGGACTGGGTTCACTCAGAATTGTGCCTTAGAACACAGCCATGAATCCAGAATGGTCGCACAACATGCTCCAGCAGTGACTTCTCCCCGCCATCCAATAACCATTTGGTGAGGAACAATACTTTTTCCAACATGATGGAGCGCCTTGCCACAAGGCAAATGCAATAACTATGTGGCTCATAATACAAAACATCAACATTTTGAGTCCAAGGTCAAGAAACTCCTCAGACCTTTATCCCACAGAGAACTCGTGATCAATCCTCAAGAAACGGGTGAACAAACAGGAACTCTTAAATTCTGACAAACTGCTAGCATTGATTGTGCAAGAATGAGCTGCCATCAGTCAGGATGTGGCCCAGAAATTAATTGACAGCCTGCTGGGGTTACTTGCAGAGGTCTTGAAAAAGAAGGGTCAGCACTGCAAATGTTAACTCTTTGCATAAACTTAATGTTACTGTCTATAAAATGCTTTGACACTTATGAAATGCTTGTAATTACATTTCAGTTTATCATCATAACATCTGATAGAAAGATCTGAAAACACTGAAGCGACAAACTTTGGGAAAACTAGTACTTGTATCATTCTCAAAACTTTTGGCTCTGACTGTTTGCTTCAAACGACAGTAGAACAACTGAGTTCACACCCTCTGTTGCGCTACTCAAACTCTAAGCGAAGCAGGAATGGTGTGGTGTCCCGTTTGTAGATGAAATTGGGGTGAAAATGAGTGTTGCTTTTGACAGCCTATTTAAGTCGAGTCATTTTCATGACTTTTAGTTGTGTTCATACTCTTTAATCTAGTCAAGTTTTAGGCAACTGAAAGTCAGATTATTTCCGTCTTATTCTTATTTTAGTCAGACTTGTCCATGTCTATTTTATTCTAGTTTTAGTTGAAGAATAACGGATAATATTGTAGTCTGGTTTTAGTCCAAGATACGTGATGACATTTTAGCAGAGGTGGCAAATTCAGGTCCAAAGCTGGACTTCGGTCACGGGTGGTTTTACTCAACTGGCTGGTAAACCAGCTCATTCACCTGCGGGCACATACTGTATATTTTCTCATTGGCATTGAGGAAATGACCTCGCGACCAGGGAGAACAGAAATAGAAATAACACTTGATATTTCTTGACACACATGACATTTCGTCACGTCTCGTTTTGGTTAACGAGAATGCAGAGACATTTTAGCATGGTTTTTATTTTGTAAACCTCATTCAGTCTCATTTTTATTTCCCAACAATATGGAATGATAAATTTCGTTATCGTCACGCCACCAGCATTTTCGTTGCGTCTTATCTCGTCTCTCTCTCTCTTGTGAGTAAGTCTTGTTGACGAAGACATTCCATCTTAATTTTTGAGACAGGGGAGAAATGAGTGTGAAAAAGTAACGTGCGTGCGTGGTGCGCGCCAGCGCCAAGGTGAGAGCGGTGCGCAATTGCTCATGCATGCATCTTAGAGGGAACATTGTTTATGAGTATCAGGCTCACAGTACTCATAACTAATAACTGGAACATTAAATTAAAAATACTGTAATTCCAACCTATAACCTGTTGCATTACGAGCCTAAACCTTAAAATAATGATTGAATTTAAGACGTCCTTTTCGTGACAACTGGCCTTTGTGAGGTGTTTTATGGCTGTATGAATGCAAAAGTTGTTTTATGGCGGTACAATTGCAAAACACTACGGATGCCTGTGAACAACCTAACCGGATTGCCGTGACGATGGAGCAAATGGAGTGTCCATTATCTGGCATCATTGAGCTGTCGAGCCACCGTCAGGATCTCCTTGGCTCCTTTGCTTAAGAGCAAGTTGGCCAGATCCACCCCCAGGCGCTCGGCATTGTCCTGCGAGCCGCCGCAGATCTTGATGACCGTCACCCCCACACGCTGTACCTGCTCGTCCACTTCCTCCTGCCCCTGGAACAGCCGCTTCGTTACAAAGCGTTCAAAATGGTCGCCGTGGTAGCTGGTCAAAGTTTCAACTCTGATTAATTCATTTGTGGTGTCTTCGTGGCTGCCACGTAGGACAATTCAGTGCACTCGAAGAACAGGTATGTCCTACTAATTGTGGTTTTCCACTACGGCCCTGGACTACTGTGCACCAGGAGAACAACGAAGATGCACGAGTCCGATTTGTGTGTTACATGCTAGTGAGGCAAAAGTTCCCAACTGTGTGCCACTCGTACGGCTGGTCACATGATAAAATTCTGCTTCAGTAAACCCTACTATATCGCGGGTTCTGTAATAACTCACAATTACTGTTGTTTTTGGGTGTAATTCCACTTTCCGCCACTGTCGTATATGTTGATTTATTATTTTTCTTGTTTTTTTTTTTGTTTTTTTTTAAATCTTGGGCACAATTATTGATGTATATATTGTAAGACAATAAGTTTGTAGAATATTATTATTACTACAGTCATGGTCAAGTAAAATATTGGATATAATTTTATGTTCCGTTCAAGTGTATTCCAAAATATTTTTTTTCCCAATTACAAATTGTTCAACAATTCTTGTTGTTTATTTGGTATTGTTTAGTGATTAAAAAAAAGAACTAAATAATAATCAAGCAATATCGCACGAGAGGGACTGATGTTGTCACTAACCTTTTTGAGACCGATTGTTAAGTAAAAGCAGGTGTTTGTAAATGTCTTCTTTTCATGAAACACAAAAAACTTTCAGTCTGTTTTTGTTTAAGTTTGACAACGGTGCCAAGTGATTACTCGGTTATCAAAACAGTAGTCGATTCATTTGATACTCGGTTGGTTGTCGTTGAAGTGTGACACCTCCAGTACAACACACTGTTTGTATATTTATCCTATCAAATTTCCCTTGGTCTCTCTCTAATCATGTTAAATATCTTTAAATGTTTTTGGAGTATTTTCAAGGGTTTTTAAAAACCTCAACTCAAAATAAAAAAAAAAAAAAATGAAATGCTGTAAAAATATAAGGAATATTTCAAAAGTGTATTTCTATATTACAGATTTCACTTACTGCAGGGGTGGACTGGAACGCACGATGGCTCTACTTTAGTTCACATCAAGCCCTTAACTATTACTACAAGTAGTGAGGGGGATGTCAACTCATGCAGTTTTGCCTGACGAGTACCGTGCGGTTGTTCTACGAATGAAATGTCCCATGCATTAGGATTAAGCGCTATATTTATAATAATAAATGAAATAAATGGTCAAATGGCTTTCCAGACTACTACTAAAACACATTAATTGGTCAGACACGGATTTCAAAATGGAAAGGTGAGGAATATCTTGAAGGTATAATGATTGTGGGGTCCACGTTACCTTATGGGTAGTAGCAATGCTCGTCTGCATGGTGTCCTTCAGAAAGTCGGAACCGTCCAGGCTGTACACGGCCCCTGTCAAGTAGAGCTGTGGGCACATGAGACCAAAAGCTTAACATCTTCTATTTACTGAATGGGGAACTGCTTTTCATAACCAAACAAAGGCTACTTGAATTCCACTGTTATGTGGATGACTGTCAGATCTATGTCCCACTGAGCAAAAAAGACGCTCTTTCAAGATCTGGATGGCACTATTTTATTATTTTTTTCAATGAAAAGAAGACAGAAGTAATGGCGTTTGGTCCCAGTGGCCCATGTACATCTCATTCTATAGACTTGGGCCCCCTGGCTCCTAATCTTAAAACAACAGTCTCAAACTTTGGTCTTAAACTGGACAGTGATTTTAAATTGAATCGGCAAATTGGCGCCATTATAAAATCCAGCTTCTTTTATTTTAGGCAGCTGGCTAAAGTAAAGCCTCTCCTTTCTCATGAGCACTTTGAAACAGTAATTCATGCCTTTGTTACATCCCAGCTGGATTGCTGTACTTCATGTTACTTTGGAGTCAGCCAATCCTCCATTAAGGATCTCCAGTTGGTCCAGAATGCCGTTGCTCGCCTCTCGACTGGTACTCGTAAGAGGGAGCACATAACTCCCACTCTGGCATCCCTTCACTGGCTCCCTTTACATTTTAGAGTTCTTTTTAAGATCCTATTATTTGGTTTTCAAATCTTTAAATGGCCTTAATTGCTCCACCTTACCTCTCTGAGCTCCTTCACCCTACGTACCTGTTGCCTCAGGTCTGCATTTAAGATCCTATTATTTGGTTTTCAAATCTTTAAAGGGCCTTAATTGCTCCACCTTACCTCTCTGAGCTTCTTCACCCCTACGTACCTGTTGCCTCAGGTCTGCGGGCCAGACATTATTCAAAAACTAAGTGGAGGCTCAGAGGGGATCCTCTCTCTGGAATTACCTCCCGCTGAACGTTAGGCAAAACTCGTCTCAAAACTCATGTTTATTGTTTGGCTTTTGACTAAGCATGAAACTTGATTTTTAGTTTTACTGTTTTTGTGCTTTCTATTATCTTTGTTATTAATCTATTCTTTGATGTTGTATATATGATTTTTGCTCCATGTACAACACTGTATACAGCGGTAGTTGTTTTAAAGTGCTCGATAAATACAGTTGAGTTCATTACTGCCCTAACAGAGACAGGCGGTGGCAGTTTCTTACATGTGAAAAATGGCCACCAAAAAAAAAAACAAAAACAAAACCTGCACCATGAACTAAAACAGAAATTAAATTGCATTGGTATTTAACATGTAGATTGTATAACTTTCGGAGATTCAAAACAACTGCATAGTGGTTATTGTAAACTGATTTCTATTCATGAGATAATCTTTTTTGGGAAGCTTTCACATTTTCATGCAATATAAACAACAAAAGTAAACCTCAAAGAAAAGTTCACTTATTTTAGTGCAGTACTTCAAAAAGTAAAACTCATATTACACAAATTAAATACACAAAAATATTCTTTCACACCGAGACTCATTCATATCAAATGTATTGTTTCTTTGGTTATACTGTATATACATTTCCTGAGATGCTGAATTTTTGGTTTTCATGAACTGTAAGCAATAATCATCCAAATTTTTTTTAAATCACTGTGTGTATTGTAAATTATATAGTACAGTATCACAAATAAATTAAACCAGTGAAATACATAGTTTAAAAAAAAGTTTCCCATGATATTCCAATTTATTTAGATGCAATTGGATAGAGTAAAACTCAAAATGATTCATACCTAGCCACTTAAATGTTGTTTTGGCAGCTTCAAAAAGGTTCTGTATGTTCATTATTTTTTAAAATAATACAGTGTCGTAAAATATTATCCAATTTGTCATGACTTTGCATGTCCACTAAACTGTCTGTCTCAAATTCAGACTCGACGTGTTTTTTTTTGTCTGACATGTCGGACCATTAGACTCGCAAAATATATTTCTCGACTCGACCGAGTCCAACCATGTTTTCATTCCTGAAAATGAATGTCCAAATGAATATTCTCTAAGTTTGTGGTATTTAAAATAATATTTTTCTGTCCGAAGGTTTACTCTTGATCTCATCTGAACTTGGAATTTATGGACTCGATACTTGCACAGCCACTGTTCGACAGGATTAAAATGTTCTCGCCAATGTGATGTCACATTTCATCTGGTTTTAAAGTTTGGCGATTGGCTGTTGCCGGCCCGTCCAGAGTGTATCGCGCCTCTCTCTAAATGGCAGCTGCAATCGGCTCCAGCGCATACGCGACGTCAATGAGGAAAAGCAGAACAGAAGACAAAGCACAACAAATCACAACGTACCTGCGAGTCTATCACCTCTGTGTGCACAGCCACAGGAACACTGCAGCCTCCCTCCTACAAATGACACTTAGATGAGGAGCATATTTGACAAGGATGTCGATATCCAGCAGAGTGCCTCAAAATTGGCACAATTTGGATAAATATGTCCCTCAAAAAGGCAAACAAAAGCTCAAAGGTGATGTGAGATTTCATCTGAAGGAGTACCAGTAACTCAGCAACGGTATATCCTGTAGCTACCGGTACTTGTTTTTGTTTTCTTTTGGTTTCTTTGTGAATTCATGTCCAGCAGAACAGGACCGAGCAAAATATGTAATCACTTGAGTTCACTGTTATTTTAGATTAACATGAACATGGAAAAAAAAGAAAAGATGCCACTCATTCATTTGGGATGCGTTAAATGTTGAATGGGGTTGAATTGACACAAAAGCCAGCACGAGTCAACAGCAAATTTCGATCAGAGATGGCTTTTTGTGTCACAAAATGTGTTTTTGAAGCTCATTCAAAATCTTTTTTCCAAGCACATCATGTTTTTAAGATATATTTTTTTGGTTTTGTTTTTCAGTTTGACCCACAAAATCTTGCAGAATACGTTTTTTACTGAGGGTTGTAATTTATTGCTATGACAAAAAATTAAACCCACCTGTTGCTCAGCGTAACCCTTAATTCATAAATATTGCTCAATATATTCCTTTGAAATATATCTTTTTCATTATATCAAGCTTTCACAACAGCTGCAGCCCGAACATACAGCTTTAAAGAGCATGTAACATAAACTGACAATAATACAACAGAACACTTATTATTATTATTATTATTATTTGCTATGACTACCCTTACTTTGCTCTGATTATATTTCATTTTACTACACAGGGATTCACTTCTTTTTGAAACTGCAATTAAGAAAGTTAAAACGTTGCTTAAACCATTCCCGGTTGAGCATTCGTTGATGTTTTTTTGGAATGATCCATTGTTATTGGTTGACAAACTCCCCTATTCGTTGTTTTTATGCTTGAGCCAAAACTGTCACGGTAGTGCTTTGACGCCATCTGGTGGAATCTTGGTACCAAGGAAACAACGTGAAGTCAGTTGAGGCTCTTCGTTTCGACCACTGGTTCTCAATCTGTTTACACTAAGTAACACTGCCATGACCAACGTTAAAATACGTACAATAGCATAGTCGTCCTAAGTCGTCTTTCGTTCACTTCTTCGTTTGACAAATAGGAAGAGAGTTCCCTCCTACTTATGACGAAAGATTGGACATGGCGCAAACCATCACAATGTGGCGTACAGTATTCAAAAAGTGCCTTGAACAAAAGGGGAACTATTGGAAAGTATACGTAGCATTTCAACTCATGCTACTTTTGTGAACTGCAAAGCTAATAGCTGATAAACAAACGTGGAGCTGTCATAAAACACATTCGTTACCTCAAGTTATTTTTGGTGAATAAACAGTCCATACTGCCCTCTGCATCCAGAATTAGTTTTTTTTTTTGGTTTGTTTTTTTTGGAGTGGGTGTCGGTCTGAACACAGAAGCAAGGCACATGCACATGTCGTGTAGTTTAACACGGCCATCAAAAACTAGAAAGAGTTTTACAGTCAACCCAAGCATGTCCGCAGCTCAGCACCTGCGTACTCGCAGATTTTCATATTTCATGCGTGTATTCATGTGCTGTAATGGGTCGCTCGTGAGAGGTTGGTTGCTAGCAAAGTATATCTTCGGTCAAAAAAGGTTGGGGACCCCTGATTTTGAGTTTTCAGTTAACCTGCCATGCATGCTTTTGGAATGTGGAAGGAAACGGGAATACCCGGAGAAAACCGATGCAGGCACGCTGAGAACATGCAAACTCCACCCAGGAAGGCCAGGACCAGAATCGAAACCACGATCTCTGGAGTGTAAGGCCCACGTGCTAACCAGTCGACCAACATGCCTAGATATACCTGTATATTGAATATTATTGTAAACTACTGTTACGCCAAGCGCATTTTAAACACATCACCGCCCTTTAATATATTTAGTGAAACTCAATCTAAATAATAATTCATTGAAATGATTTGCACCTCAATGTTTGGGTCAAATTGTACCTCAATAAAAGGTTAAAAACAGTTCTTAAAAATTTAATTAAAATTTATTGTCCTAAAAAGTTAAGCCCAACAGAACTGTACATAGGCAGTGTACACGGGAGTCCAAGTACCACACTTTGAGACTCACTGAGCTTGGTCTGTGCACATTATTTTCTGTGGGATTTTTTCTTTTGATATAAGAACAACTTGAAAGTCAACCAGCGCCACAGAACAAAGGTTCTACTGTACATTGGAAATAGTGTGTGTGTGTGTGGTTGTAGCGTGCCTACCAGATGCCTGAGAAATGCTCTCTCGGCTATGCAGCGCAGCACAGTGTCAGTGTCGTTTAGTACAGACAACATCTCCAGGATGTCTCTGTCTTTAGCTCGAACCTCCACGGCCAGAGCGCCCTGAGGCAAAAAAAAAAGGCACTGCAATCACAACCAGTGCTTTTCCACAAAATTCCCGTTTCAAGCAATATTGTTCCCACCTGTCCGACAGCATACATGCAATCCTCGGGCTCCAAGATCTAGCAGAGGACAGACGATATGTTCGATGACGGCTTACTAGACCAGTGTTTCCAAACTTGATTGCGCCAAGGCACATATTTTACATAAGAAAAAAAATCTCACAGACAACTACTGTACCAAGTGGAAGAGCATGTTTTGCCTGTCACTAGATGTCATTGACATAGACAGTTGTACAAACATGACATTATTTGTAGACAGTAAATAATTTTCAAACCAATGATGTGAACCTAGATCATTTTCCACAACTCTTCCGATCATTGAACACTAATGTCATAGTACTTGTACTGTATTAGAGGTGGCGAGGTGTGATTAAAAAAAATAATAATAGCAAATAAATTGAAACCTGGCTGATTCGGTTTTCCCAACCCATCCTCTTTAGACCAGCCGCAGCAAGGATGATGGCAGCAAAATCCTCCTTTTCGTCCAGTTTCTTCAACCTTGTGTTCAAGTTTCCACGCTGGAGAGGAACGCTTAGGAAAGACAGCGCCAAAACAAAACAATCCCTTCCTGGCTACTACTTTCGGTACACTCGATACACTTCTAATAATGCTCTGTTTTGATTGACATCGTCAGGTAAATCCTAATTGATCGACATGTTTATTAGTGTGGTTCTACTTAATGTGAACTGTACATGTACACAATTGAAAAGCCCAATATTGCCATTAAACAGGATACAATATCTTTAAACACCAAGTGGGGAAATCTCCTCTTCAACTGAGCAGCACGACGCAGTGAACTGGTGCCAATCACGCTGCAAAAAACGCACAGCATGAAGTTGTTGGGGGTTTTTTTCTCTCCATGTGACCACACCGCATGGAGCGGAGATTTAGCGGGTAGGGTGTACCTTTTTTCTGGAAGAGTCTCCAACGTTTTCCCTACATGTTTTGGATGCAGGACGACAGCATCGTGGGGGTTCTCTCTCCTGAAAGAAACCAAAAGAAAACAACACTCAAGTATAGTCGAATCTCCAAACTTGAATTCAGTTTAGGGAGTTAAAAAAAAAAAAAACTGTGGCTATTGCTTTGGGCAATATCGTAATTGTGATTTGATTAGTTTTTTCCAGTTTTCTCTTCCGATGGATTGTTTTAACAAAGTCAACGACATAAAATGTATTACCATATAGAGATTTCAAATTTAATATGGATGTTTTGGTCCGATAGGTTAGGCTTACGCAAAAAAAAAAAAGGGCAAATGAACCATGAATTAATATGAACGACAGTTTATCATTGATCTACTTTAAATAGAGTCGTTAACGTACTAAACACTTTCAGTCTTTTAAGTGTTCACAATGACAACAACTTCACAAAATTCTACCAAACAAGTATGGCATTAACGCAAGTCCGATTAGTACAGCAATGCAAAGAAATCTTAGGCTTTCCCACTTCAACATTTCATGTTTCACAAAACAATATGTAAAGTGCATTTCTTCAGCACGGAACCTATCTAAGACACTCTTATTTAGATAAATGTGTGTGTGTGTGTGTGTGTGTGTGTGTGTGTGTGTGTGTGTGTGTGTGAAGTATATACAGGTATATATATATATATCTATATATCTATAGATATCGATATCAAGCATTCAATTTTCTCAAAAGCCGACAGTGCACCTAATAACCTTGTATATGGATCAATATTCAGATTTCTTGGACGTAGTATATGAAATGTTCTGTAAAGCGCTTTGTTACTGCTACAGCAGTTGTGAAAGCTCTGTACTGTATAAATAAAGCTGTATTGTATTCTTTTAGCATAGCTCCATCTAGTGGATGCATAAAGTAATCGCAGCCACTATTGTCGCTTCTATTCTATGCGCCTTATAATGCGGTGCGCCACACATATGTAAAGAGTTTGATAATAGGCCATTCATTGAATGTATGCCTTATACTCTGAAGCGTCTGATAGTGCGGAAAATACGGTACTTGTTCAGCACTACGAATGCAATAACAACATAGTACAGATACACACGTTTTTTTTGTTTTTTTTACAGCAGTTGATTTCTTTTTAGAACAGCACGGTCAGTGACCTAGTGGTTAGCATGTCAGGCACACAGTGGTGAAATTAGGAGTTTAAAACTTGTGTCCCACAGTGTAAAGTTTAAATGTTCTCCCCGTGCTTGCATGGGTTGGTACAGGTATTTCCGACTTTCTACCAGCTCTCACATTCCAAAAAAAGGCATATTAGGTTACTTGAAGACGCTAAAAGAATCACACACTGCGAGAGGTGTTACTCACTTAAGCACAGCTGCGATAGTGAATCCTGGAGGCAGCGTGGTGGGAAGGTCCTTCAGTGAATGGACGACCACATCGACACTGCGGGGCACAGAGGGATGCAATCATGTTAGACAAGCTCCATCTCCTTGTGGAATAATACAACCATTCACAAGTGTCAGCATGCTTTGAAGACTTCTGCTTCAACTCAAGATGTGGGTGAAATGAAAGGGTTTGCTTCAGCGTTTCTCGTTCATCCACGTACTGCTTGGAAATTTCATTCAGAGAGTAACTATTGAACAAGCACCAGCTGCAATAAACCTGCATCCTTCCGCTATGCGCAGGCCATCGGTTGCCCAGTAAAAGTGATGCCAGGGTTGAGTTGGCCAGCACTACTCACATATTCTTCTCCAGAGCAGTCTCCAACTCTTTGGTGAACAAACTCTTCTCTCCAATCTGTATTAAACAAACAAACAAAAAAAGGCTTCTGATTTATTGTGATTTTCAGTCACATGCAAGGGGTTCTCGGTTGACAGTGAAGTTCTTTTCTTTCGTACAGTAGCGACATAACCCAAATTAATGTTGAAAGTCAGCATGGGATGTAGTTTATTACTACCATACGATAACTCATTAGTTTAAGTCTTAATATATGTGTAGACAAAACACTTCTGAGCAATAACTATAAAGTACTCAAAAGAAAAAACAGTCAAAAGAAGAAAAAGCACGAACTGAATGTGCTTTCCTGTGCCACGTGACGACGACATCTTATGACGCAGCACAAACTAGTTTGTGATGTGTCGTTGGTAAACCAAGAACCCCTTATAAACGACAACCTTTTAAATTGAACTTCACAAAAATTCAGGATTCGGTCAGTGCCTTCTGATGTGATGACGTATGATTTTGCTGCAGTTTCTGGCAACCAACTCCAGTCACAAAATCCTTAGAGATTGAAATGCTGTCATGGTTGACTTGACGGGAGAAGTCAGCGTATCTTGAGATTTCAGCCCGGTGAGCAATTAAAGAATTAGAAGCAGAAAAAGAACAAGCGTTTCATCTTAACACGAACAGCTTCACGCCGCAAGCACAAACTGTAATCTCCCTCTGCACATCTGCCAACATTTATTGACAAGTTATCAAACAGTTAGTTTTCATACAGTGCATCGTGGCTAACTTCTTGACACACTTGATGACAACTCTGACAGTTAAGAATGCGAAGAAAGTCAAATTGGGTCATCAATGCTTGATCCATCCATCCATCCATTCCCTACCACCAATGCTTGATGTTATTCTTAATCTACTTTCATTTATTAATAGGTTCACAAATGAAACAACAGGGAGTCAAACACTGCACCTGCTATACACTAAATACCAATGCACGGGGAACTCTTGGATATTTTAATTAAGAAAAAAATATTTTATTTAGGGGCAGCCTGGTGGTCGACTGGTTAGCACGTCGGCCTCACAGTGCAGAGATGCTGGGTTCTATTCCGGCTCCAGCCTTCCTGTGTGGAATTTGCATGTTCTCCCCGTGCCTGCAAGGGTTTTCTCCGGGTAATCCTGTTTCCTCCCACATCCAAAAAACATGTATGGCAGGGTAATGGAATACTCTAAATTGTCCCAAGGGGTGAGTCTGAGCGCGGATGGTTGTTCGTCTGTGTGTGCCCCGTGATTGGCTAGCAACCAGTTCAGGGTGTCCCCTGCCTACTGCCCGAAGACAGCTGGGATAGGCTCCAGCACCCCCTGTGACCCTTGTGAGGATAAAGTGGATGAGTAAATGGATGGATGTATATTTTATGTAGTTCTTACCTGTGTCCATCACCTGGTTGCATCTGTGGTGGTTGTTAACGTAGGGTTTTAGAACCAAAGCTGAGTTGACAGTTGACTCTCATTTTGCTTTCATTAAACTTCTTAACCACTTATTGGACTGTTTGTATCCTGGACTGTTCACATATCACTTGCCTTACAGGCAGCATCTGACAAGCAAGCGAGCTTCAAGAGTTCACACCTTCTCATTTTCCCATTTGGAAACAGATCGCATTGAGGACTTTTTCATGTGCACGCCGACAGGCATGACAAGCCTTACCTTCGATAAAGCCGTGTCAAGAATTTTGTCCCCAATTGTTGACATGGCCACTGAAAGAGAGAAGAGAGCACAAGTCGATAAATAACTTGTGAATGCTAATCCTTGAATGCTAATTCATCTGGCCAACCAAACCATTTTCTATACAGTACCGTTGTCCTCATTAGACTCGCAGCTGATCTAGAGTCGACAGCTAACATTGGATGAGAGGTGGGTTACACCCTGGACTGGTCACCGGTCTATGAGAGTAGTGTCTTTCCTGTTACTCTGTCTGAGACGCCCACTGTGACGATTTGCCATCATTTTTCATATCTCTTTGCTGTCATTATTACCGTATTCACCATCGTATCATTTTGACACATCTGCTACTCGTATTTTGCTGTCATACTAGAGTAACGTTGGTAACCAGTGACAAATTAGTGATAATTTCATGAAATGACTGTCACTTGAATGTGGGTTTGCTTTTGTGCAGCTTTGCCGTGGCTCTTTCTGGTGGCATCTTGGTGCTAAGAAAACAAATTGGAGTTGAGGGTCTTCATTTGGGCAAAAGTGGTCCCATCTTGTGACAGCCGCAGGACATTACAATCCCTTTTCTGGGAGACGTCAATTACTTTTGCAATTTGTGGCAAGTCTCGGTCCTTATCCCCTCCGACACAAACAACTACACTGTCTGCACATAAGTCCGATGCTTCTACCAAACATTATATACTAAACAAAAAAAAACAACAACAACAACAATTAAAAATACCATGTATTCATGAGGGACAATAAAGGTTCGAAGTGATGATTCTTACCAATTTCCAAAACGATGTCAGGGTGAAGCTCTTTAAGTTTTTCTGCAACACTGTCCGTCTGAATGCGAGCCAACTATAAGAACACGATGCTTTGTGTAAGTTTTTAATGCACCATACGTTTTAGACTTGTATGAAACGGAAACAGTGCACGGCACTGGCTGTCATACAATCAACTACCTAGAATGGAAAAATAAAAATTAAACATTACATTACACATCTCCAACATCTAATGCCCCCAAATTTGATGGGTGAAGTTACTGTGAAATAGTAAAGACTCCCCAAATTCAGTGTGATATGGCCAAACCTATTAAGCACATAATAACTACATATACTAAAACGCACACTTATTTTACTACCATAATCAATGAATCTGTTAATTATCTTGATTATTTTGACAGTGCAGAAAATGAACAATGATCAAGTAAAATTATGATACAGTTACTGGTTTGGGCCAGAATATGTCCGAAAACAGGCAAAAATGTTCATTAGTGTTTTGCAAAGTGTTTTGTAAAAGCAGATGTTTGGAAACGTCTGATTATGGGAATGTTCGGAAACCAATCTGGCGCATGTGCCCTACTAGTGGTAGTAAACTAGATATAAAGTATACCAAATGCATGCTCAAATGGCTTAAAGTTGTTTGAACATTCATTCAGGATCCTTGATAAGGATGCTCCTAGTGCGGGAAACGTGTACATGTCAGGTGTAGAAATGTTACTGGTGAAGCACAGCATTTTACAAGTAAGGTGTAATTGCGTATAAGTAGGACAAGGCGGCACAAGTCTTGGAAAAAAAACATTATTGGTGAGACACAGTCGTTCTACTAGTGTGATCTAGTCATTTTACTAGTATGTTAATTGTCTTACGAGTAAGGACAAAGTGGGTACTAGTACATGGACGTTGAGATGGATATCAAAAAAGCATTCAAACTGTGATCCATGGTTAAATATATGACTCAATCCATGCAATACTGTACCTGACTCTTGCGTGTTCCGATCCGGATGAGACGGCTGACTCTTCCATCCCCATTCTACAACATTAAGAGAGAACGTTTAAAAAGCCACACGCCTTCGCAGATGTTGCATCAATACACCTCATCTATAAACCACAATCTGACTTAACCGTGATGAACTTGAATTGTCCTTCCTCCATAATTCTGCTTGTTAACTGGAGAATCTATTGTGCCTGTCTGCTGTCTCGTAGAAAGGACCTGTGCTGAAAGCCTCAAGATGGTGAACAGTAGTCTTGTTAAGAAGACAAGCCCTCATTCACAGAACCTCCGCCCTGATGCATCCCTGTTGCCGAGAGATAAGGGCCGGTCCATTGAGTCCGTTAGATGAAGCAGGGAGGGGCAGCTCAGTGTATAAGGTGTGGTCCGAGGCGTTTTAATACATAAAGCATCAGTTACTGTATTTCTGAATACTTGCCAATAAGACAAGAAAGGTTCGTACAAACGAGACCATGAAAAAGCTGATTGATTACTTTGGAAAAAAAAATAAAGCGTCCTCCGCACAAACATTAGCTGTCCATCATTTAACTTTACAGAAAATCAAACTTGAATAAGACAAAGTTGATTAGTTTTGAGTACATCTCGATCGCTTCCTAGTTAATAAAACGATTCATCATGCACAAATTAAATGCAGGTGTCCATTGTATTACGTACGTAAATACATTATAGTTGTTCGTTATTGTTTTAGTACGCGATATATTCACAAATTCCAAAACTTCATAATCTGCTGTCAACTTTTTTCATGCCGCCCCTCTCGATTTCAAGGTCCAATGTTTAACTTGTAATCGATGACAGACATCAACGTTGGCCAATTGGAACGCCGCCTGTCGAGTTTACACGGAAATGCTACCTGCTCACCCCATTCTTACAATGGCTGTGCTTCACGCGTGGCTCAAGATTCAAAATCCAAGATGTATTTATCATGTACTCGGTAAAAACAAAAAGCTAACACACAGGCAATTGAATTCTTGTTTTGCTAGTTTCCCTCTACTTAAAAATAAGGTGTTAGCGCGTGGTGATTAATATAAAACTTACCGTATAGTTCGCCTCTTCCGTCATGGTGTGGGCCTGATTATCTGTGTTTATTTTCCTAAAATTGCGGCGCGTTTAGCTGTAGGCAGAGTCAATTATGACAGGAAATCCTTCAAAAGTCCGGCGCTCATTTTGCATGGCTCCTCTTGACCGAGGAATGTGACGTCGTTGAAGCGTCTCGAGGTCATTTCCGTGTTTCATGTTTCACTCACGGACGTATATATGAATGGACTATCAATGCCTCTTACCCGCCATCTTACGTTGCCAATTCATAAGCGTGACTAAAATGAAGCCATTGGTTTTTCTGCTTCTCCCATTTTCTGTCTCTACGGCGAAAATGAAAAAAAATGTATGGCATATGGTTTAAAGCAATAAGTACACTATGTCCGCTTACTGCAAAAATGTGTCTGCATCATGTCAAAACCATCAACAATTGAATGAAAACCATTATTGTTTTTGTTATTGTTGCTGTTATTATAATCAGTGTGTTTGATTTATTAACAAGAACAACGCAGCTGTAATTTATGTGATGGATAATATGTATGGGCATTGCAGATCTGCTGGTGTTAATTCAGCACCATAGGGTATTAATTTTAACGACCGGCAAACTCTCTACATGAATCCACAGTAACAAGTGTTAAAATAACATTTTATAATGTGTTAAAAATTCAGCACCCAACAGTATGTTACACCAACAAAATGTAGTCTTGTCAGTGCAGGAATAATGACACTATTGAGTGTATAGAGTTTAAGAAATTAATGTGTCCACCCCAACTCCATACAGTGTGTGTAAATAAGACAAATTACAAAATGTCAATTCAAAACATTTCTCTTTATTAAATCCATTTGAGACAGTTCATTAAAACACCTGTAGGGGATGCTTTTTTATTTTCATAATTTTCATGTAAAAACGGCCCATCGTGCCACTAACAAAATCTGGTAACCATTAACAGTGAAAAAAAATACTCCTCAATTCTAAATGAATTCAGGTAATTTTCAAAACCTATAGTATTTGTGATAAAAAGAAGCTTCATCATCTTGAAGATGATAAGTTTCCTGAAATTAGGGAATTAATTTTCAGTACCCACACATACAAACCTTCCATTCAGTTTGTCACCCAGGAGATAGTGGTAACACTAGACTTTAAATATTTGACAAGACCATTACACGTGGTCTGGACAGTATAGCATCTCTCTGTGCGTGAACGTAGCAAGGCGAATTATCCAACGGTCAATTGTCAGTTTGGAAGTCCTTAAATTGTCTGTGTTCAAATGAGGAACAGGTATGAAACAGGAAAAACCGGAACACCACCGCCACCTGCTGGACACTAAACAGAACGGAACCATGACAGGCACACACAGTCAAACAATCATCCGCGTTCACAGTCAAAACCAGGGACAATTCAGAGTGTTCCAATAACCTGCTGTGCATGTTTTTGGAATGTGGGAGGACACCAGAGTATTGGGAGAAAACCCACGCAGGCACGGGGATAACATGCAAACGGTACACAGGAAGGCCGCAGGCAGAATCATACCCTCTGCACTGTGAGGTGGACATGATAACCAGTCGACCACCCTGCTGGTAATATATTTCTACATTTTGCAAATGATATGGTTATGGTGGCTTCATCGCGCTCTTCAACTCTCACTGGATTGGTTCCCAGCCGAGTATGAAGCGGTTGAGATAAGAATCAGTACCTCCAAATCAGTTAAAACAGGGGTGCCCAAACGACTTTTCGATCAACCAACCTCCCGAGATCGCCCCTTACCGCGCAAGCACACACGCGCACGCACGCCACAATGAGAAACAGCTTGACTCGGAGGCATGTGATGCACCTTTGCAGCCTGTTAACTATCTAGCTAGCTCACACATACCGTTTTAAAGTGCTTCCCTGGGCTCTCTAGATTCCTATTCTTTGCCCGTGCCCTCGATGAATTGTACACGAAACAAATTCTGAATGAGAATAATGACGATAAAAGATATAGCGCAACAGCTCTGATCACAAGCTGCAATTGCAGACTGCTGAGCGCTAACAACTTCCGGTGACGTAGAGCACTCGCCACCGTAGGTTAAGGATTTACCTGCTTTATTTTCAGGGATAATCTTACAGTTTAGCCCCAGCGAGTCGGTGGGACTCGCTGATCAGAAAAATATGAGTCCCAGTATGCATTTAGAGAGTCCCAAATTTCGAATTCTGAAATGGTCAACTTATTCAATTGCATATGATAATAACACAAACAACATATACATACAATTATTAACAAATGCTGCAAAAAATTAAATAATTCAGTAGCAGGCCTGAAGACTTCGGAAATTCACGGTAACCGTTTTTTGGTTCGTTCGGATTACCCAATGGGAAACCACGGTAACTAATTTTGGGTTCCGTGAACGTTCATCACGGGAACCCATTTTCCTATTTTGACTGATATTCATAATCAAGAATTCTGATACTCAAAAGTAAAATGTTTCAAGGGTAAATGTTTGAAAACTATGCATTAAATACGAACATTACATCAACAGCTGTGTACTCCCGGTTTATTCAAAAAAAATAAATGGATCAAAATATGGTGTAGTCATATGGCATCATGAATACAGCATATCACAAAATATATAAATATATAAAAATATAAATAAAGTATTTTTTCCAATCTCACACTACAAAGATTAATTTACTGGTAAGTATTGATGTGGCTTGACATCCTCTTCCCAAGACCATGCATGTGTAATCTACTATCAATTTGACGAAAGAATCTAACACACGTCATCATTAGTTCTACCAACAGTTAACATTAGCATTACTACACTTTGTGACAAATGTTTTAATCCTAAAGTTACCATGCTACAACCAGTAAATTATACCATAACCAATACTGTTTCATAATATTTTTCATAGCGATTAGCCTATAGATCTAATGACCAATTTGCCTCGTAATCGTGCCTCCCGTCATATCTCGCTCTCGTTTTTCTGTGCATACGTCACAGGTGAGTTTAGTGGTACGCCCTTCGGACGATTCATACGAAAAATCAGACTGGCATTCCCATTTCTTAAATGTCGTAATTAGTAGACCTTTGTGAGTTTTTTTCGCCACCATCTCAAACTTTCATCCGCGCGATTCCTCATTTTGCGGACTAAAATAGCAACGCGCATGCGCACATAATGTTAACTGTTCCGTCCCCGCCAACACTCAAAACAAAATAAAACGAAAGTAAATTAGAAAAAACACACTCACACTCCACACCACAAACACACATACAGACACAGTGAAATTGCGTTGATCACACAGGAGAGACTTGATCGCATACAATTAACTCCTGTGCGGTGACTTTTATGGTTAAACGATTTTTCGGTACCGTCAAAATGACGCCACAGAAACGACACGCTACCGGTAACGATCGTTACCGTGAAATCCTCAGGCCTGCCATAGTTTTTGTTGTTGTTGTTTTTGTTTTGACTGAGAAATTTCCTTCGTCCCAAAAACGCACATTATTTGGAACTGTGCGGAATTATGCGTCTTGGACGCGGGATGCAGAGGTAACGAGATGGCTGTATTTTATTTTATTTTTAAGATATTTTTGTGTGAAAATGAGACTAATAGGATGATTGGGGTGCAGTGTACATTAACACAAAAAATACATTACTAACATGTACAAAGACACACAAATGGTTGTTTTTTTTTTTTTTTTCTCTCGTCTACACCCCTCAGATACACTTGGGACCTGTCCTAGATCTACCGGTCGATCAGGATTGACGTAATGGGCACCGCTGAGTTAAAAGGTGTGGGGTGGTCTCTGCAGGTCAGGGATGAGATGCTGCCCATGTGGAGTAATTCAAGTATCTTGGGGTATCATTCATGAGTGAAGAAAGAATGGACCAGGAGATCACAGAATTGATCTGTCGTGGTAAAGAAGGAGGTGAGGTGAAAAGGCAAAGCTTATCAGTTGATCTATGTTTCTACCCTCACAAGTTCTGGATCGTGAAAGACCAAGATCACAGATATAAGCGGTGGGAACGAGTTTTCCAAGGTGTGCAGGTTGTCCTAAATAGATACAGTAAGTGAAAAGCCTGGTCATCTTGGAGGGCCTCAGAGTCAAGCCACTGCTCATCCGCATCAAGACGGGCCAGGCTTGGGCATCTCAGTAGGATGCCTCCCTGGTGAGGTGTTCCAGGCACGTCCCACTGAGAGGAGGGCTCAGGGGTGAAGAAGCCGGCAATACTGATTCTGAAGGCCCTGGACAGTTTGGATTGACCTCGCAAATAAAGGCAGAAATCTGATTTTTAAAATTCAATATCCACATGCAATGGAAGTAGTGTAGCCAAGAGTGGTGCTACAAATCAAAGAAAATAGGCTGTTTGGAATAAGTAAATTCAATTTCATGAAACAAATCAAATTTAGATTTTAAATTTAGGTGTTTCTGATACACTAGTGGAGTATGGGGTGAACTGTACGTATCACTGACACAACTCCACACACTCCAAACTAATGTCTAATCAGTGGCAACTTCAGCAGGGCTCAGGAAGTGAAACTTGCATCTTTCCAACCAACAGACATTTCCATTTTGTTGTTGTAAAAACTGGCAGAAAATTCCAAAAATTAACAGATTAAGAGCCTTCAGAAGAGGTGATTTGAAGTTTGTTATTCTCACCCCAAAAAGAAATGTAATAACCTTAGTTGTTTGTCATTGTAAGAATCACCCGAGTACGAATACACACGTCACAGTTTTGCAGTGTGGGTTGGTCTAGCGCTGTACTTCCGGTGGAGACGTGGCTCTGCACTGCTGCCATATTGACGCCAGGCAAGCTAACCACCATACATCTTCAAGCGAGCTGTACCGTCTTACCTTGCCTATTCGGAGTAATTAAAAGAACTCAAGCAAAAACGACAAAGAAGCTGAAGGTCGCCATTCTATAGAAAGAGAAACAAAAATGGTAAGTAAGAATCGTCAGATCCATAAAGTTAAATACGTTTCGTTGGGCCTTGGCTTCAAAACATAGGCTAAGCAGGTCGCTGGCTAATTCGAGACAACAGTTGGGGATCTGAAAGCGAAATTATACAATACATTTCGGAGTGATTTTCGTTGAGCTGTCATTTTTGACGCAAATTTAATTTCAGTCATTGAAACGGAGTGTTGTGACTGAAAGGGCGACACAGTTGTGTTCAGGCTGTGCTGACGTGAACTAGCTC